CGATTGTACAGTGTGGTCCTGCGACAAAGCGATCATAGCGCTCGAATAACATATTTCCATCACTGACATGCACATAATTAAGCCCTATGATCGCATGCCGAAACTAGCTAGTCACAGGGTTGTATTCCATGAAGTGACCACAGCGCAACGTTTGGCTAAACTCGGTTAGTATGGAAATAATGGTAAGAATAGCAGTTAAAGGTGTTGATCCTTTGGTGAAAGTCTGGTAAACTCACTAGCATTCGGCTTATGAAACCCCTCCCTACCAACTCTTTGTTGAACCTATATCACTCACCCGCTCCGTAAAAATGTGAGTTATTATTTATTGTATCATTCCGGCAGTTTTTCAAAAGTTCAAAGGAATCTTCTGTATTCTCTTCTATCATAAATATCACCTGTATGGGAGTGAGTATTGGTTTACGCCACTATGGCAATAGTCAAGCTGTCACGGCTGGAAACACAGGAATGAGTTTCACATACTTCTGTGGAGATTCGAACCTGGGTTTTAATTACTAGCCTACCTAACTGCCCCAAAGTACCGAATGGCCAATGCAGTTGTTTTCATTCAGACAATGCTCAACAAGAGATCGGTTACAGTGTATACTCTATTCATAGGGCGCGGCGCAGTGCATTCCTTAACTTTCATCGCGGAGAGAGTTTCACCAATGCTGCTGTCAAGTGTCAGAATTCTTGTGGACACATAGGTTTCTAAATACACAACAATATGAATGTTTCTTTTATCGTGGGTGGCACAGTAACAAATTCCATGGAATGCGCGACGGAGAATTCCGGTCCACGAGACATGTAGAAGTCGACATTAAGGCAAGCCTTAAGGAGAAATATGAGACGATAATGACGCTCTAGAAGTCACGGCAGAAACAGAGCTCGTTCCGATCCAGCCATTAACACATAATACACAAACAAATCAGCCACCCAATCTACATGCGGGGAAATCAAACCGTATCATGTTGCTCGCCTGTCATGCAGTGCAGGGTCGGTACATAACGATAGCACACAGGGCATATCATAGAATCCTCCACTAAACATACAAGATTTCACTTTTCAATAAACGTTTCGGTTCTTCCATTTGCTTAAAACAAATCATGTGAACCCATTTAATATTTTAGCCTGTTGCGAGTCGATTCGAATAACAGTGCACTATAAATAGCCATCCAATCAAAAATACTGCGAGAGGCTCTGTGTGGAGTCACGAGATATTAGGATGTCAGTGTACACCAGATTATGCGAACTTATTGTAATTTTTAAAAGAATTTCACTCATTACTTACGTATTAAATGTCAATATTAGCAGAACATAACTCCAGATTCAAAGACAGGTGAACAGTTAGTATTTTGTCAAGTAACCATGGGCAGCAATGCTGGCTTCAATGCGGCGGGGCACACTACTGATCAAAGACGTTAGAAAGTCGTTGTCCATGCTGTCCCAATATCGGACCACCTCTTCTTTCACTTCAACAACATTTGTTAGATTTTTTTTATTGATACTTTCCTTCATGAGTCCCAAAACATTTTCTATTGGATTTAGGTCATGGCTATAGCTTGGCCAATCTAATAATGTCATATTTTGTGTCCGAAACCAGGCCTGTGAATGCTTTGAACGATGTTTTGGGTCGTTGTCCTGCTGGAAAATCCAAACATTTCCATAGAACACGTGAGCAGATGGAAGTAAATGTCCCTCGAGAATATCTGTGTACCGCTCACTGGTCACTGGACAAAGGGATTCCTGTTCTACTTGAAATCACTTTAGCTGATCTAATGTCCTTGTTATAATACTCTATAATCAACTTCCTCTTCTCTAAATCATCCATACTGAGGATCACTGAAAATGTCGTCTGCTAGCAAGTAAACAAAGGGGGATAACTCTTCACAAACTAATGAAAAAGGATTAACGGAGTTGTCTCTCTTGAATGAAACCACGCACTTGATAGCTGGTCAAGGTTGTTTATACTAGAAATCCAATTAAACATATTCCTAAAAATTCTCAATAATTTCTGGTCATACTATAAGATATTTATAACAGTGAGAAAACATTCTGAATAACTGAGAATAGCAGAGCGACTGTTTGACAAACTGTGAGTTTAAAGCTATGTTTGAAAGTTTCCAGGCAATATAGCGGCGTTTTACTAAACACAATGTGTTCGACAGATTCGATTTGAGGTATCATTTCTTTGGAACAGAATGAATGGCATCACCCGAACGGGAATCAAACCTACATGGAAACGAGATATAGTTGTATCTTCATCGTATAAATACAACCGAGTGAATGAGTGACTTTTGTTTGACGCCGCATTTGACACTATTCCAACTATATGACAGCAGGTGAGTGAGTGAGTGAGTATGGCTTTTCATCGCTTTAAAATATTCCAGCAATATCACAGCGGGAGACACCAGAAATGGGCTTCACATATTGTACCCATGCGGGGAATCGAACCCGGGTGATCGGCGTGACGGGCCAACGCTTCAACCACTAGGCTAACCCACGGTCTCAACTCATGATGAAAACCATATTAACCGGAATACCGATATACCATGGTATCAACCAGAACCCTCCACAATATGCTCCAAAGATATGTATGCTGTTAAAGATGTTCGAGATAACGATTTCGCCTTAATTCCTTAAAGACTGAAGCTGTGTGACGTTGTTGAAGTTTGTCTGATGAAAAACTTTGACCGTTGAAACCCGGTAGCCGAAACTAAAGAGTGGTTTATGGATGTTTTCCACTCCTATGTTGTCTCTGCCACTTCTTGTGTGGGTAACTGTGACTGGAAGTTGGTGTGTGACACAGTAATTACAGTAAGTATTAATACGTTGGGTCGTGACAGAGCCGCCATTCCATTGCTGAAGTTAATACATTCAGTAGTTAGAAATGGACAATTTAAAACATGAAATGTAATCTATTTCAGGTCCCTCCCTTAAAGAAAATGATGTCACTAGATTTTAATAGACTGTATTCTTTCAACAACTCAGTCATACTTGACTGATTTCTTGCGCTTGACGGCATCGCTTTCGATGCACTAGGTCAATGAACTGGGTTTCCTCGTGCACGGACCTACAAACATTGCGCCTCAGTAGGTTTGATATCACGTTTACGGCGACAAAGGAAATACCAGGTGAACAGATTTGGGTTTGCAATCTTACACTGATGGGGAAATACAGAAATGTTCCCGATTCTGATTCTTTGAGTTAACGACTACTTCATAGAAAAACCCAAATTTACCATATACTGTAAAGAAAATCTAGAGAATATCATTTCTTGACAGCCAGACAGATAGATAGATAGATAAATAGATAGATAGATAGATAGATACACCACTCTGTATTCTACAGGTGCTCCAATTTCACATTATAAAAATAATTTCAAGTATATCAGCAAAATGAATCTTGTTAGTGTTTGTTTCACTTTGCTATTTACCCGATCCGTGAAGATCCGGGTTAGAACTGATCTTCAGTAACCCATGCTTGTCGTAAGAGGCGACTAACGGGATCGGGTTGTCAGGCTCGCTGACTTGGTTGACACATGTCATCGTATCCCAAATGCGTAGATAGATGCTCATGCTGTTGATCACTGGATTGCCTGGTCCAGACTCGATCATTTATAGACAGCCGCCATGTAGCTGCAATATTCTTGTTACATGAGGGCGTTCTGTAAATAATCGTGTCTGGACCAGACAATCCAGTGATTAACATTATGAGCATCGATCTAAGCAATGGGACACGATAACATCGACAGAGTTACCAGCCTGGCCACCGATCGGGTTCGTCGCGTCTTAAGCATGTTACTGTATATTTAGGATACAATATAAGAGGCAAGTCATTTTAATTGATTGTAGATACAGGCATTCGTATCTTCTTTAACACCCAAATAAAATATACAAAAACGGTCAAAACACCCAATACGAGCATTTGGTGAGTATCTCTACAGCATGTTGACTTCTAAATCTGCCCTGTCTCAATGTGTATGACGCCCATGTGTTGTATCTACGCCACTGTTAAACATCTATAGGAACAAAACGCGGCTTTCTCTTGTCAGTCTGCCCCTATTGTTGGGCTCTCGGTGCTGCTCTGTACACACAATGGCTGTCTCGTGTTATCCTGCTGCGGGCGACAGCTGCCACTGATTTACATGTACGGAGGTATTTGTACAGAACCCGACAACAACAAGCTTCAATGAACGCGTGTTCTGTTCTATTAAGAGTTGTCTTTGAGGCATTAAAGCTCTTTGTGCCTACATCCAACTCACCTTTCCCCGAATTCATGCAAAACCAAATTCTGACAGACCAACTTAAAAATTAATATAAATAGAAAATAATGTTTATCTTATAAAAGAATTTATATAGTAGAATTTAAACTACTCTGCATGTCACACATTGTCTAATGGTTCCATTTGAAAATCGAATAATGTAACTCATCCCATAATAATTATTGTATTATTTAGCAAACGCTAAGCTCAACATGCCATTAATCTTAGAACTACATATAGCAGGAGTGGAAATAACTTTAAAATTGCTAGTGTACTCCGGTACAGTGGCACATGTAAAATCACTTGCCCTGATAATTATTCCACTATACCGGCCGTTTTCTTGTTGATTTTTTAAATAAACAACATAATTAACATTGGAATATCAACTGGACACCGGTACAGTGTGATATACAAATTTGCTTGCCCGACAGAAAAAAACACTGGACTCGGGCGTCGGGCAAAGGGTTATTTCCACCCCTGTATAGTGCTAATCTACATTTGTCAAATGGCACCCTTCACAGCTGTATTATTGTCCCAAAGTTTCCCCTTTAAGTTTTAATACAGGGTGATGGTTAGGAAACGTAACACAGGTGGTTGTTGAAATCAGGGAGACTATATGTTGTAGAGTATCCCTGTTGAAATCAATGCTCTACGTCCCACGTATTTAACTACAAGCCTAAGAATCATCTCCCTCTTCTAGTGTGAGGAGTGAGTAAGGAGAGGTAAACATCACACTTACCATCGTAGTCCTCTGGGATGATGACGGGGGGACCTGACGCCATCATCTCCTGAGATGTCTCATCATACTTGAGATTCCGGGCGTACGCTTTACGTATATACCGCTTCCTGTAGATAAGTAATGGTTGCTGTAGATCGAACTGAAACTTGGACAACTGTACCGAACACTGAGACGCACACTGGACTACCCTGGGTATCTTGAACTTGTTCACAATTTCCCTGAGGGTATAGCTCTGGCTGCTCCACTGATACTCAACATCACTCAGGGGCTCGGGTTTTGAGGAGCCTCCAAGTTTGCGCGACAGGCCCATAATCAACACCAAGTCTTTAACGTTTCCACCCGATCATGACCCCGTTCTGTAACCACCATCCTCCCGGGCCGTTGAATGAGGAAAATCTCGTCTCCTTGTCGCTGTCATTTTCATCCTGCTTCAAACATGGCTGCGAGTACGTAATAGATCGAGGGTTAAGCGGATAATGTTTAGTTACGCCTCTCTAGGTCACTGCTTGTGCTTCACAAAAGAGAGAAGAGTCTTCCTTGTTTTGAGGGCCACATTCCTGTCTCGTCACTGATTTCACCACCCTGAACCCACCCGTCCATGAAGGATTACCTCCCTTGCACTCACCTGGGCAGGTGTGAGTAACGCGAGGCTCCATTTAGGGGGTCTCTGTTTGCCTTCTCAAGCATAGGCGTGTTTATGGCTTTCTACTTTTAACAGTTGTACTATATATACTTGACTGACATCGTCTGTAGAATTCATTTTGTATTTGAATTTCAAAAGATGACATCGCGTCAAGCAGACCCAATTAAACTAAATTATTCAACCTTTAAGTACATAAATCCTTACATAATCACCAAAAAAGAAGTTAGTGATATAGTCAATTATTGATTATGTGTCTGTGAGTTCAGTCAGGACCACATTGTACCGCTGGGAAAAGTACGATGCATAGAAGGTCCCTGGGTACAAAACGACCAACGTACACTTCACTAGTGTTTGAATGTCCACGCACTTAAAACTACAGCCTACGGGGCAATTAAACTAAAACACGGGTGACATGCGATCTGCGTGAGGTGAGGTGAAAGAGTTAGTTTGTTGTTTAACGTCACTACTCCCATCTTCGATAATCTCCAGGGTATACGTTACGATCACTCTCCACTATATATATAGTGGAGAGTGATCGTAACGTATACCCTGGAGATTATAGAGGATGCACTACTCCAGGATAATGATGGTTCTCAATAAATCATCAAGTCGGGACCGATCCAACCAGTGAATGACATCATGAGCATCAATCTACGCAACTAGGGGGGTTATGAAATGTGTCGCCTTGTATAAGCGTGGGATGGCGTATATTATCCTGATGTTCAAAGGGAATATTGTTGCATTCAAGATTATTGAATAAATTCAGCGATTTGCATTACATGGCTTCTTCGACTATCAATAACTTATGCCGATTCTGTAGTGCCAATCTACTGGTATACCATTCCTGAGTTTTACATGGATACACCGCTGACAATCTCCATCATTACAATCCCCTTCACGCCAAGGAGGGGCGGTGGGGTAGCCTAGTGGTTAAAGTATTAGCTCGTCACGCCGAAGGCCCGGTTTCGATTCCTCACATAGTGTGGGCACAATGTGTGAAGCCAATTTCTGGTGTCCCCCGCCGTGATATTGCTGGAATATTGCTAAAACCGGAGTAAACCTCAACTCACTCATGCCGAGTGGCAGGCAAGGTATCAACAAGTAACATAATTCAAGGATATTTTGTTATAACGAAGTCAAGGGGTCGAGCTTGCGACCTTCTGATCATCGATCTCACTGAACAAGTGCGTAAAGAGCGATAAACCTTAAATCAGTTCGCGGAGTGCAATCGACCTATCAAAGTGACTAAACTGTCATCCTTAGGAAACCAACGCGTGAAATACATCAAACTAGATCCTAAGGTGCGATCAAAACTAAAATACCGAGCAAATGAAATTTATCACCGACTTCACTTGACCAACAAAAAGAAACAAAGACGTATGTGAGATTTATGATAATTATTTTAAAAACAGAAATCATTTTCTAATAATCTGACTGAAAGTTCATCGTAATGCTGGTCTTGCATTTACCGAAATTCATTAAGAAAGAGTCAAGGGGTCAAATTAAAAATTGCACAAATCAGAATTCGTTCCAAAAGTGCATAAAGAGTCACATGAGACAGGAGGAGTCAGGGACACGTCATCACTAGCGAGTGTGTCTGTATTAGCGAGTGTGTCTGTATTAGCGAGTGTGTCTGTATTTTTTGTATGCCACAATCATGTACGTGCATTTGGACCAATGTCCCACAATTACGTTTTACACATTTTGAAAAATGCACTATTCGTACGAAGTTTTCTGACAGCTGCGTTGTTATTGGGACCACGTTGCGTTTTGGCGAATGTTTTCTGCTTGGGTTCGAGCCTGTACCACCGTTTTTGCTTCTTATACAATTACTTTTAAAGTGATAACTTTCTTTTGTCCGGTAGTTTATAACAGTAACTGACGTTCGTGACGTCAGTCTCCAAGCGATCCAAGCCATATCAGTCCAAACGGTGTGATCCAAGCAATATCGGTCCAAAAGGTGTGATCAAATCAAGATCGGTCCAAAAGGTGTGATCAAAGCAATATCGGTCCAAAAGGTGTGATCAAAGCAATATCGGTCCAAAAGGTGTGATCAAGGCAATATCGGTCCAAAAGGTGTGATCAAGGCAATATCGGTCCAAAAGGTGTGATCAAAGCAATATCGGTCCAAAAGGTGTGATCAAAGCAATATCGGTCCAAAAGGTGTGATCAAAGCAATATCGGTCCAAAAGGTGTGATCAAAGCAATATCGGTCCAAAAGGTGTGATCAAAGCAATATCGGTCCAAAAGGTGTGATCAAAGCAATATCGGTCCAAAAGGTGTGATCAAAGCAATATCGGTCCAAAATGTGTGATCAAAGCAATATTGGTCCAAAATGTGTGATCCAAGCCACATCGGTCAAAAAAGTGCGATCCATGCATGCCATAATGAAGAGGCAAATGATATTGTGAATAAGCATGTAATCCTTTTGCGTCTTATTCATTGAATTCGTTTCAAAATGAAATTAGCAAGAAGACAAAATCATCAATATCCCCCGCAACGGCAAAATACTGTTCATAAATATATGTATACTAGTTATGATTATGTCAATTTTTTGGCATGTATTAGCAAAGTGGAAGGAGAGTATTGAAAGGTTTTTAAGTTCTGCTCCAGAAAGGAGCACTACCACCAAATTCAGTTGAAGCCAAACTTGTTGCCATGGAAATGCAAAATAATAATTTATTCAGATATCCAAAACTACCAAAAGGCACCAGTACACCACCAGATCTATCTATGTGCCAAGTTTGGTGAAAAAATATTGAACAGTTTTAAAGTTCTGCTCCGGAAAAAACAAATGTGCACGGACGGACGGAGTTCAGTTTAATACCCCCCTTTGCGGGGGACAAATCAATATTGTCAGATCAGGGCGTAAAGACAACCTGAATTACATTTTTTCATTACATATTCACAAAGTAATTCATATTCAGTGTAGGAACACATATTCATCAGATGTCACTGATATAAATAAAACCTTCCGAAAACATTATACATCATGCTTCGGCGAGTCAACACGGATCGTTTTGCTTTAACAATCGAATTACTGTTCAGGACTGTTCGTGGATTAGACCTACCTGCAGATCTTACTTGACGCCTTGTTTCAATCTAACAACTTTATTCATTCACTACATAGTAGACACAGGGGCGATGGGGTAGCCTAGTGGTTAAACCGTTCTCTCCTCACGCCAAAGACGCGGGTTCGATTCCCCACATGGGTACAATGTGTGAAACCTCTTTCAGGCGTCCTCCGAGGTAGTATTGCTGAAATATGGTAAAGGCGGTGTAAATCTAACTCACCCACTCACTCACTAGTATACCCAGCTTAGCGATGAGTCGTCTAAGTGAGTGTGGTTTTATGCCACTGTTAGCAATATTGTACCGAGTCGATCCGTATTTTCGGCATGACGAGCCCATATTCTCTACCTTCTAGACCACCCCAACGCGCCAGTTGTCATCTGAAAACGCCTAAAATAGATATATCAGAATCTAAATGACTATTCGGGTCCTTCATGCAATGTTCCACATTCCTCCATCTTTCAGTGGGGCGGTGGGATAGCCTTGTGGTTAAAGCGTCCGCTCGTCACGCCGAAGTCCCGGGTTCGATTCCCCACATGGGTACAATGTGTGAAACCCATACGTGGTGTCCCCCGCCGTGATGTTGCGGGAATATTGCTAAAAGCGGCGTAAAACCATACTCACTCACTCCATCTTTCAGTCCGTGCCCTCAGCGAGACTAGCGAGCACTAAACCACTGAGCCATCTCATCATGCCAGCTTGGTTACAGCTGGCTGCCACAACAACCAGTTCCCGTCAAGTACAGCCTCAACCCCTCATCGGGAGCCCCGCGGTCGTTCCAGTTCGCTAAGCGCAGTTTGTTGTTGAAATATGAAAGTTATTATCATTCAAAGCGCGTGGCAAGGTTCGCCTGGGAACATATAAAAACTCCACGCAACGCGGCTCGGTGTTGTGTCGGTCATCCGGGGCCGCTGCTCCAGACGAGGTGGCAATTACGTCGGTCGTTGCAGTGCTCGGTGCACGACGGCCAGCTTGCTCGGTCTTCAGATATTGCTGAATCAGAAGTAGTCAAAGGGGAACATTATGTCTAGCTTGGGGATGCAGAACACATTCGATAACCATTTCGTGAAAATTGGGAGCCTTTTCCCAGACGTGCTCTGATAAAATGCACAGATTACTACTGGCTCGATATTCAAGTTATCTAATCCATCTATCCCTCGTACAGTTATCCAATGACGTGGTCAGTCGTCCTTTGCTTTAAACTGGCAGTTTTTCTCAGCGCCAACGTGTCATCCTTAGACAAGATGTCTCAAGTGCAAAGCCGCTGACATATCTCAGATGGCCAATGAACCAAATGGGCATTACTGACGTCTGCTCGTGCAGCACGGGAAACACGCCTGCCACTTGTCACGTTGGGATTAGACTCTATTTTCTGTGCCTGAGGCCCTCGTTGGGATCACTGCCACCTGGAGATCCATACTTCCATGTCTACACTAATGTAGCTCTACATCTCTAAGCCATGTTTATAGCACCACAAGACGCAGGTGCACAGTGGTTGATCCGTGCACAACATACAGCATGGAATATGTCACCATGGATACCGACCTTGCCATGTGATGATGTGAACCGACATCAAGAATGCTGACTATCGAATACTGACATCCTACAAATAAAGAAATTATCACCACCACGCATCAATTGTGGACCCCCTTGTATAGTGCCACAATACCACTGCCACCATGAATATACTACGCCATAATAATATACTAGCCTCATATTCAGTGTGGCGGTGGGGTAGCCTAGTGGTTAAGGCGTTCGCTCGTCACGCCGAAGACCCGGGTTCGATTCCCCATATGGGTACAATGTGTGAAGCCCATTTCTGGTGTCCATCGCCGTGATATTGCTTGAATATTGCTAAAAGCGGCGTTAAACAAAACTCACTCACTCACTCATTCAGTGCCCCAGAACAACTGCCACTCTGCATGTATTGCGCCACTATCATATACTTTCATCCTACATACATTAAATGCAAAACCGCCACGCTTCAATTGTGCATACGACCCCTTGTGTAATTAGTGTGCGAAATAGCCACTGGCCCGCTAGCCCGTGCCTATAAAAAATCCAGTCGGGCCAGTAAATCTCCGCAGTCACTGGCCCGACTGGCGATTGAATTTTCATGGGGTATTTTGAAGATATATCACTCTCTCCGACTTGTTAAAATATACTTTTTAATCATGCAAGATTATGGCCTGATAAAACTGTTCATCATATTAGCAGATTAATGATGAAACCCGTGTCATGCCGACAATATCTTATTCTCATCTATTTTGGTAATTTTTTGCTTAGTTTCTACATTCAAATTTACGGGCTAGTAAATTATTCTGTAGGCTAGTGCATTTCAGGCATAGCCAGCCCGCACTGGCTAGCCATTTGTCATAAAGTTTGCCACCATCATATCGCACCACTGTGTGACGTCATATTTGCCGCAAGACTACTGCCACCATGCATATACTACACCAAATACACGCTAACGTCATATTTAGTCCCATCACTGACGCTACTGCCACCACTACTGCATATACTACACCATATATACATGCTAACGTCATATTACTACACCATATACACGCTCCATCACACATCACTACTGCCACCATGCATATACTACACCATATACATGCTAACGTCATATTTAGTTCCATCACACTACTGCCACCATGCATATACTACACCATATACATGCTAACGTCATATTTACACCCATGACACATACTACTGTCCCACCATGCATATACTACACCATATACATGCTAACGTCATATTTAGTTCCATCACACTACTGCCACCATGCATATACTACACCATATACATGCTAACGTCATATTTAGTTCCATCACACTACTGCCACCATGCATATACTACACCATATACATGCTAACGTCATATTTAGTTCCATCACACTACTGCCACCATGCATATACTACACCATATACATGCTAACGTCATATTTAGTTCCATCACACTACTGCCACCATGCATATACTACACCATATACATGCTAACGTCATATTTAGTTCCCATCACCATGCATATACTACTGCCACCATGCATATACTACACCATATACATGCTAACGTCATATTTAGTTCCATCACACTACTGCCACCATGCATATACTACACCATATACATGCTAACGTCATATTTAGTTCCATCACACTACTGCCACCATGCATATACTACACCATATACATGCTAACGTCATATTTAGTCCCATCACACTACTGCCACCATGCATATATATACTACACCATATACATGCTAACTACACGTCATACATGTTGTATTTAGTTCCATCACACACTACCATGCCACTAAACCATATGCATATACTAGTCCCATCATATACTGCCACCATGCTACACCATATACATGCTAACGTCATATTTAGTTCCATCACACTACTGCCACCATGCATGCTTTGCCCCACATTAAAGAAATGTAATACAACTGTACTCTAAAATTACTAGGTTTACAAATCAATACAAATTACTGTTTCAAAGTGCCGATTTCCAATTTGAAACAGTAACCAAGCCCTACATGAATTCGGTGTGAAACCAACAGCCAAGAAATGTTTTTCAATTGGCAATTGTATTTAACAAATAACAAAGTTTACAAATCACTACAATTTACTGCAAGGGAATTACAAAGGCGGTACAACAAAGAGTGGCACTACAAACTCCATATCAGAACAAATACAATGACAGTATGTGATAATATAGCATTGGTAATAACAGCAATAAAGTCAGTGATCATTACATTCCCCTAGCTGGATATCCAGGGTAAAACATGAACACACCAGCACTGGTTTTGATGTAGTGTGTGATGATTTATCAAAATCCCCATACCAAGCCGGGTTAGTCTATAGCTGTTTTAGAAGATTCCAAATTCTTGAATCTAGCAAAATATGATAACGTCCACAACATTGTTTACGTTAGATATTAATACATTCCTGACAACTAATTACTGTTAAAACATAATGTTCAACACTACTGAAGTGAGAAGCTATTTAAGGTTTTCAAGACCTTACTTTAATATTGAGGAATACCATCTCCAATGGAAATGAAAATATTCATACTAAAAAGATAATGTCTTTTGTTACCATGGCAACTGAAAAGCGCAGATGTCATAATGATATTACTATTCATGTTATTTTAACAAACGTTGTAATAAAGTTATGACTTCTTGAAGTCGCGACAAATACACTACAATATGGACCGCGACCAAAGTGGACGTTAACAGTCAAATTATATATCTTTTCGCAGACACACTTTCGCCGAACCGAGAAGTTTGTCCCTGAAACCTGCTGTAGAAGACTGTCAACTGTCTACAGTTACCACGAAAGTCCGTAAAAGACAGTTAACGCTTTCAAGAATATGGTACCGGTATATCAAGTTGTAAACTAACATCAACGTCAAATGCCTTTGCCAAGAAAGGAAATATTAAACGTTATTCACGTTCAGGGAAATCCCGTTCATTGGGAATATGCAATTCACCGCAAATCGTCCGGATGAACAGGCTCAGGGATTAAAGAGTCATGACAAAGAAGTAGTCGACGTCTCGAGACTAGCCTTCCGGAAAGTGGGGTTCAGTGTAATATAGACATATGTAAGAAAGGGAGTGAGTGAGTGAGTATGGTTTTACGCCGCTTTTAGCAATATACCTAATCGCCAGCACACAAAGTCAGACGCCTTGCCTGCTCAGCCACGGCGGCTTCCACTGGCTGTGCTAGCGATTGGGTGCCTGACGCTGAGGGTGTGGGTTCGAATCCCGGATGGGTCTCAACCAAACAAAAGTACTGGAATCTGTACTTTACCACGAAAGTGTAATGCCAAATATAACATATGCTAGATATATTTCTGAATAAAGAAGTTGTTCATCCATAAAGTTTGTCCTTATCTATATCTTTTCTGTTAATTCCTAGGTCAGTCTAGGTTGTAAATTATATCAAAGCTCTATAGATAATAAATTATTATATCTGGGTCTGTAAAACTAATAAGAAAGAAACTCTGACATTCCTTTCAACTCCAATTAGTTGTAATTACATCTTCATAATCAATACCCACATGGGTACAATGTGTGAAGCCCATTTCTGGTGTCCCCCGCCGTGATGTTGCTGGAATATTGCTAAAAGCGGCGTAAAACCAAACTCAGTCAGTCAGTCATAATCAATAATTTTGTGTGGGCCAATAGACGATCGGAAAAGTTCGGAAGATTTGCGGAACATACCGAAGTTGTCCAAAGGGAGACCACTCTAATATTCCATCAGCAGCTGTCAGGTGAATGTGTACCAAACATTCATGAGTTTCTGTTTACCGATTCTGGGTTTATTTAAGCACAAACGTTACTTGATCTATTTACAGATAATTTCAAGCTTGGCGGAGGGTGGAATTACACGACAGACACACTCGAACTTGCATTGTATCAATGTAAACGACATCAGACAAATCCTTCTAAACCACACCTGTTCAACGTCAACAACAACAAATCAACAACTTCACAGAGTTCATTCAGATTCTAGTCATTCAAAAATGGCTTACGATGTAAAACAAGCTGCCATTGGAGTAGAAATAAGAGGAATAAACCTGAATGAACCGGTGTCGGAGGATTTGATTAAGAGGTTTAAAGAGGACGTTCATAAGCATAGACTTCTAATCTTCAAAGACCAGGGTGTTGTGGGAGGGGAACGCCATGCGGAAATAAGCAGCTGGTTTGGAGAGTTGGAATCAACGTTCTACAAGCACCCTCGATCCACCCATCCTGATGTGTTTCGGGTGTCGAATGATGAGCGAGAAGGATGTCGGAATGTTGGGCGGACAGGCTGGCACATAGATGGGAGCTTCATGAGGGCGCCTTTTGCGTTTGCCCTCTATCACATGGTTTCTGTGCCCAAGAGTGGTAATACAGGTAAATATACTAAATAGGAATGAAAGAGGTAGTGATACAGTAAGAGCACTTGGATGTTAGGTAAATGAGCTACGATTTCCATCATGTGTTTGTATTTTTTGAAGTTATCAATACATGTAAGCAAAGGTTATCAGTTATCCGACTTATATGTTTGTCACAATCTGTGTTTTGTCACAATCTGTGTTGTTTTATTAAATTGCATAACTTTCACAGAGTAGCAAGCCTGTTTCTGGCTTACAGTGTTCCATCTTCAATCTCTGAAATTATGAAACAAATGAATTTTGCATGAAAAACCAAACTAAACAAACAGAATCAGCTGTAGATATTGCACAGGATGATATTCATCAGAACCAGAATGCTGACACATTGGTTTTCAACAGCTTTCCACTCAGGTTGCAGTGGAGCATCCCTTAGCATGCCAAAGTCTGTCTGTAACCAGTGTATGAAATAAGCCAAAAATCCAGCCAGACATCAGGCTGGTAGCTTCAAAATGTTACCAGCCCAAAATGGATTTAACCAGACCAAATATGGTGAATTTACTCAGATGTATGGAAGATCAAAAAAAATTACCAGACCATCGGGCTTGATAGCTGTAAATTTAGCTGTCCGTCAGAAATCTAGACCGTCTCGGGCGGTCAGACGGGCCTTATTTCATACACTGCTGTAACTCATGAATTTGGAGTCTAATCCAAGATTCACTCAGATTATTTCATGGTTTGTCAACACCATGCATGTGCTTATATGGGACTCAACATTGTACCAAACATCTACCACCTGCACATCATTATGGCCATACCTCCACACACACATCAAGCTGACATGTTCAGAGCATGTGAAAGTTAATGTCAAAGTTTTCCTATGTAGATTTCGTCCCACTGAAGGATCTAGTGGAGAGTTTAAGTTTGGAGACACGGCAACGGTGGGAGCGACTATGGATGGTCAGCGACCGTCGTAGTAGTCTTATCCATCCTCTCATCTATCCCCATCCCGTCACCAGGCATCCAGTAAGTCTAGCTGCAGCAAGCAATGAGTGAGTGAGTTTACCGGTAGTTTTAGGCTGCTCTTTCAATATTCCAGCAATATCACTTGGGGGGACACCAAAAAATGGGCTTCACACATTGTGCCCATGTGGGGAGTTGAACCCGGGTCTACAGCTTGGTGGACGAACGCTTTAACCACGCGCCAACCCCACTGCCTGTAGCATGGATGAGTGAATGTGTAGCGAGTGTGGAATAGCATCAAATCTAAATCTGGTCTAAATTGTTTAAGTCATTATGTAGAGACATCTAGTGTAAGTGTAGATAAATAACAAAGATGTTTTGGATTTTATGAAGTTGGTATAAAATATCATATTGACGATGATTTGTTTCTTGTTTTAAGATGTTAGCTTATCATGTATAGCAGCATAAATATTTCTTTCTAATTGTCACTCAATATCTGATGTGATATGTGTGAAGCCCATTTCTGGTGTCCCCTGCCGTGATATTAATGGAATATTGCTAAAAGTGACATAAAACCCAACTCACTCACTCACTCACTCACTCAGCTATGTCTGCTATTGTGGTTAATGTTACATGCAGTTAGAATGTAGAATGAAAAATAACAGGTTCTGTAAACTGCCTTGGGACATACTTATCCTCACAAACACTTGTGTTCAAAGGTGCATTCATATAATTTTCATCTCTCGAGTCTGTAGCAGCAGGTAATCAAGACATTATTCCCAGCCATTGGCATGTTATATCTATTGCCCACCATAAACTCTTAGACATGGAGAAGTATCTGCTGTATTGAAAACAGTGTTCTTTTTTCACTGTCAAAATTAATTCATGTGTATCTACAGACACAATTTGTTTTGAACTAACAACCTTGAATAGTATTGGTAACATCTCTGTGTGTGTGTGTGTGTGTGTCTATCTCTCTATATGTACACGCGTGCGCGCGTGTGTGTGTGTGTGTGTTTTTAACATGTCACAATTCGCCGTGCAATCTCTTGGTGTAGTGTAAATGTGGTAAATGTTGCAGTTATTGAGTGTTCACCAAGCAAGAGCGTGTTTTATTTCCAGACACTGTGTTTCCACCTGGGAATGACAGAATCCTTTATTTGGGACTTGGGAACGGAAAAGGCAAGAGAAACAGACATGAATGAAACAGTGCAGATCCTGAAGGAAATCCATCGTGAAATCACCAAGGATAACCGACGACTTGTGTATTCTCACAAGGTAATGCTTATGAATAGACCTGTATTCTAACATCCTCTTATCATCCATTGTATAAACTTATACCAGTTTCATCCATGTCTCAGTTCAGTATTGATACATCACCCAGACACAGAATACCGACCCTGAGTAGTCCAGTCAGTCCTTGTTACTTCCCCTAAGGCAGTACACCAGAGTAACACCATATATACACAAAGAACTTAGTTAAGCACCCCCTGACATATCTCATGATTGAATGAGCCCCGATCTTAACCCTTTGGAGCATATCTGGGACATGATTGGTCGTCGTGTGCAACAAAGGGATGCTCCAGAACCTGGCCCGATTGGAAGCTGCTTTACACGAGGAATGGTCTGGTCCTTCAGAGGATCAGGATGCTGGCAGGGGGTATGAGGAGGAGAAACTGGCTGTCATACAGTCACATGGAGGGATCACTCAGTATTGACCTTGAATCATGACAAATGACAATTTGAATGTTCCCATGCACCAATAAATTCAACATTAAACATTCCAGGGCCTTGTTTCACAAAGCTCTCGTAAGCCTAAGATCTCGTAACTTTTCTCACGTAGCATTAGGTTCGCATCTCCAAAACTGTAACATCTCCTAATGCTACGAGAAAAGTTACGGTAGATCTTTAGGCTTACGAGAGCTTTGAGAAATGGGGCCCAGGGCCATACTTGTACAAACATGGTTTTGTATGAAAATCTGTGTTTTTTAAAATGAGCAATTATCATCATAAAATTAACATGGATTCCAATCAGTTTGTCATTTTTTATGAGTCAAAGTATCATACGTGTCAGAAAACCTCATGATTCCCCAACGAGGTCACACGAGAAGTTTGTGTACGTATTGAAAACCTATCATTGCAAATATACAGGGGGTGCTTAATTAGGTTCTTTGTGTATGTGTCGTTTTATCAGCGAAATATTCTCAAGCACAACGTTAAACCCAATTTCACCTCACCTCTTTGTGTATGTAACTGTTCAACATATTTGGGCATAATGCACCTGAGGACTGAACCATCGACCACTTGTAGTCACCTCTATTCACTAGCCCAAAGATGTCGTTGAAGTTTTTATAAAAATATATTCTATTCTGCAATATTCTATCTATATGATGTGTTTGCAAACAAATGAGTCTGGACCAGACAATCTAGTGGTTGATATCATGAGCATCGATCCATGCCGTCGAGGTGCAATATGAAGTCACAAAGAAACCAATCATTGTGTCTTACAGACGGCAGAGATTACTGGGTACCTGTATTCCTATCAGGAGTCCCATCAGGTTACAGTCACATTAACAGACACACCAAAACATATGAAGAATGACATTTCAAAGGGTCATCTATGTTAGAAACAGACAGGATTGATAATATAGAGACAAACAAAAAAAAAAAAAATTTTGTTCCAGCATATGTGTAAAAAACATTCATTCTAAGAGATCTGATTTTAGTTTGCTGGACTAATGTTACCTTGATTGTACTTATAATGTCATTCTGCAAATCTGACAATTTGTCAGCCAATTCCTTTATATTTCTCACAGGAGTGAGTGAGTGAGTGAGTTTAGTTTTATGCTGCACTCAGCAATATTCCAGCTATATGAGGGCAGTCTGTAAATAGTCGAGTCTGGACCAGACAATTCAGTGATCAACATCATGAGCATTGACCTATGGAACTGGGATACGATGACATGTTTCAACCAAGTCAGCGAGCCTGACCACCTGATCCTGTTAGTCACCTCTTACGACAAGCATGGGTTGCTGAAGATCAATTCTAACCTGGGTCATTTCTCACAGGATTATCATTAGCTGTTGTATTGATCAGCATAATGACACTAGTACATGGGAGTCACAATCTCTGTGAGAAGCACCTCAACTTCAGTGAAAGAAACCATTAATCAGTTTAAACAAATGGAAGGCCTCACAAGTGCAGATTTGTCATTTGCTGTATGTGTTTGATGTGATGCAATACATTGCCAGGGCAAGATATATTTGAAACTGGTTCAAACATTAGAAGCTGTCAAGACATTTTCTTTTGGCTTTAGGGATGGTGGGGTAGCCTAATGGTTAAAATGTTGGTTCATCACGCCGAAGACCTGGGTTTGAATCCCCACATAGGTACAATGTGTGAAGCCCATTTCTGGTGTCCCCGCCATGATGTTGCTGGAATATTGCTAAAAGCGGCGTAAAACCAAACTCAGTCAGTCAGTCAGTCTTTTGGCTTTAGGGGCCATTCTTTTAATTTAAGTGAAATCACTGAAATGGTATCATGTTGATCATCTTACTATCATGATTATGATAACATCCCTGAAACCCAGGGAGCTGTTCCTTACAATGCCTTTTTAGTGTTGTAATCCCCATACTTTATTAGACTGATGTAAATGTTCATGATAAAATACAGAATCATAAACAAATGGGCTGAAAATAAATGAATGAGTTTGGTTTTCATGGCATTTAAAATTATAATAAGCCTTCTTATTCATAAGATACTAAGTATCCCCACACACACCACACACACACAACATACATGAACAGTCTGGGGGCAGTGGGGTAGCCTGGTGGTTAAAGCATTTGCTCATCACTCTGAAGATCCAGGTTCGATTCCCCACATGAGTACAATGCACGAAGCCGATTTCTGGTGTTCCCTGCCATGATACTGCTGACTCGCTCACTGAACAGACTGATGAAAATCTATGGCTGAAATATAGAATCAGAACATGAGGGTTGCAAGGGAGTTAAGATTTAATGCCAGTTATAGTGAGAGGTGACAGACTGTATAGGCTGGTCATGGTCACTGACTGGTTGATACTGGTCCATGTCATCCAACTGCGTACATCGATACTTATGATGCCATTCACTGGATTGCCTGGTTCAAACTCAATATATTTACTGATTGCTGTCACAAAGCTGGAATTTTGCTGAGTTTGACATTTCACAACTAAACACTAATCAAACCTATGTTGTTGTTTTCTCCAGTGGGAAGTGGGCGACTTCATCATCTCGGACAACCTTTCTGTGGGTCACGAGGCTACTCCGGAGACACAACATCCAAGGTCAGAGGTGGGACTGAGAGTCTTACATCGAACAACGGTCAAGGGAACTCATGAACCAAAGAAGTAGCCTGTCAATAGTGTGTTCCCTTCACATCTGAATATTTGAAGCTTACAAGTTGTTGATGCTTTATGTTTATATGTGCTTGTTTGCAACTCTGATCTCAATGTGCCATAAACAGTGTAGGACTTGTAGCTGTGCATACAAAAATAGTACTTTCATGGGTTTTTTAAGTCTGTCTTTTTATGTTCTTGGTGCCAAATTTCACAAGTTGAATTCAATTTCTCTTCTGTCAGAGACTTACCAGTACTTTTTTAGTTTCTGGAACAGTCTTTGAAAGAAGGTAAATGATGCAATTAAGTAACACTTCAATTATCATTATACAAACAACTATTTTTCTTTTTTTTGGTTTTGTGTTTATTTCACTTGACAAATGTATAATAAATCGTTGATGTTTATGTTTTATACAGAACAAACGGTTTGGGAGAGAATAATAATTTTGTATCCTGTTAGCAAATGATTGAGAGGCCAAAGGTAACATAATGAGTGTATATTGTATTTGTTATAACCCTTTTATGAACCTTGTCTCTTTGTTGATTGATTTGTAGATGGTCTGAAAATTTGACAAAGTATATGAAATGTTATCTTGATTACATACATCTTCATGTGTTGATCCTTGCTGGATTGTTGTCACAAGACTATGTTTGTGAAAGGAATGTATCTATTACTGATAGAAGTGGGACATGTTTCAGCAGGTGGGGTAAAATGGTTTACATCAAGATTATTGCATGTATATAGCTTAGGGTGGATACCCAGTGTGACAGTGTACTGATCCAACCATGATGCTGAGCATCAGGCAGGGTAAAAACAAGTTCCATCTCATAGAACGATCCTCTGTGTGTCTGCGTACGTGCGGGTGCAGGGGTGCGGGCACACACATCCTTTTTGTGCTCATAGTTTATTAAATGATCAGTGAAAGTCCCGTGAAAATGAAGTGTGCGCACGCACACACACACCTTTCTCAAGAGTGTGCACCCTCCTCAAAAGGCTGTATCTGTATCCGCCCCTGCCATCTATTGTCAAGACGAGCCTTCTTCCTACTTTGGACCTGGGACAGGGCTTGTTTGTTTTTGCAGTAGCAGTATCAACAGGCTGGTCGACCCACCGATATAATCCACTTTATGACTCCCTTGGAACATTGCTACAACTGTTGACTGCTATTCAACACCACCCAGAGTAATATTCCACCTATATGATATCAGTATTTAATAAACTGAGGCTGGACTGCTCACGGATTGATAATGAGCAGCAACACCTCTATCAGGGAAGCTGACACACAGTTGTACAATGAGCTACGGCTGCTGGGACCTGAGCTGACCCAGCATCTCTACCGTACTGCAGCTGGGAACTATGCCGTTCAGTGCTTGGCTCATTTCTTCCACAATAACACTTGTTGTTCTTGTTGATGTAATCAATAAAGACACAAATAAATTGTTTAATAAATTATTTTTAATAGTGTATTTCTACCAACATTGGTTCTGATGAAGAAGTATTATCCAAAACCATACTTTCAGAGTCCTTATCCTCATTAATCTTATGCCGTGTGAACAGTGTTTCAGTTTTGTCATGGCAGGTCAGCTAAATGTGGGAGGACAGTCAAAATGATGCAAACAGCAGAAGTTCACCACTTTCAGTGAAACCCACAACCATGTTTAGACTTAGCATTGCTACTTCAGGAAGCTGGGGGTCCTGGCATGGGACACAACTCTGTCCAGCCTGTTATAGAACTCCCAGTGCCATTACATAGTTTAGAATTGCTTGGTTACTCTTGAGGTCAAATCTTTGTCTTAACAATGATAACACTGACTATTTCTACATATTCCACAATGTTTGGTCAACATAAAATATGTTTGAACCCATTCACATATAAAAAAACAACTTGCCCTCAAATGATAACAATATCCACTAAATCTAAAAATAACATGTGAAACAGTAACAATTTTGTACACGTAAAACAAAACATGGCTGTATAATCACTTGATGAGATTACCTGGCTAACAATGGACGGAATATACAAATTCAAGTTACAAAATATGATACTTTTAAAAATACTGCTACATGCCCCAAAAGGGTGGACAGTGACATTTAAAGGATTGGACGGAAATCCAAGTTACACAAAGGTGACTATAAATCTGAACATACATGAACTAAATTGTATTATGTGGGGAATCAAACCAAGGACATCCACATAAGAGAATCTTACCTCCAACACTGAATGCTTCTCAGTTTCTCATTGATAGCTGTCAGACATTGCAGTTTTCTGGTATTAGCTTCTCCCAGTATCACTCTAACAAATCTACCCCATGAAAAGGTATGATTTTTTAACGGAAAATTTCCATTGATAGTTTGCTGTTAGCTATCATCACCCAGATGAATGTTGAGAAAATTATGGTTTCCTGCAACAATAATCACTGTGGGCGGTACTTGGTAGATCCAGAGCACAGGGGACACTTGGATTTAAAACTGTCAGTGTGGCAGTCCCTTGACTGTGTTTTTGTCCACTTCATCACCGATTTCAATATTTGGGCTCCACTTCTGTAGACGCTGTTGCCACTGGATCAGAAATGAGCTGGTTCTGTCTTGGGCCCACATGACTGGATCCGTATCATCTGGTCCACACTCAGCTGGATCTGATGATATATCGTTCATTTTCACGACAGCATCCTTCCATGGCAGTTTTGAGCTGTTTCCATTACTTCATTACTACTGACAAGTGTCCTCGGTATCTTGGACATCATGGCGGCATCCCTGTCTCTGTGCCAGGTGCATCGAATCATTTCATTCAATGGGACTACCAGATCTGTGGAAAGCTGGCAGTGAAGGAATGAGAGCAGTCTCTGTGCCACTGAGCAAGGTGCTATATCTGGTCGAATCATTTCATTCAATGGGACTACCAGATCTGTGGAAAGCTGAAATGCAGTGAATGAATGAGAGAGGCACCAGCAACCTGATCACAAGGACAGACTTTCTTTTTGCTTCAAACCTTTTTATACGATTAAATACTTTCAGGTGGTTTTGCATACTTCAAAGAGAAATTGGCTTCGCACAATGTTTGCATTTAGGGATTCGAACCAGGGCCTTGCTGGTGAAGGGACCGCCTCCGTGGTGTAGTGGTTAGAGCGTCCGCTCAGAGAGCGGAAGGTCGCGGTTTTGATCCCCGACCGAGTCATACCAAAAGACGTTAAAATATGGTACTTGTTGGTCCCTGCGTGGCGCTCGGCATTAACGGGTACAAGGACTGGTCGGCTCAGAGTCAGTATAATGTGTCTGAGTGGGGTATTCATGCTTTACTGCGGCATGGTATCTCAGTGGGCTAGCACTATAACACCAGCTTAAGTCTGGGCTAGTACAAGCAGCCACACATACACACATGCACGCGTCATATGAGCGAAATATTCTCAAGCACAACATAAAACCCAATTTCACCTCACCTCACCTTGCTTGTGAAGGATGGTAGCTACCATACTTCCCCTTAATAGCTTGTAACCTATTCAGTTATTGAATTATGAGCCTTGAACATCTGATATGTATTCAAGAGTTCTACATAGTCTGACACAGTTTCCTAAATAATTAATCACACAAATTAGAGACAGAGAAATGATTTTGATAAGGAACTCTACATTCAATCTGAATGTACAGTCAAACTTAAGGTCTGCATGTATTGGAAGTATGATTGAGTAATACGAAAGACTTACGTCTTGTGGCAATCACTGTGTTGCCATGGCTACATGATATTGAGACCACAGAAAACACATCTTCCCCAGGAAATATCACTTGTCTTGGAACATTTGTCTCTTCATCAACTCGTCCAAGCCGACCTCTCGAGGACTTCCCCCAGGAAAAGACCTCCCCATCTGAAACAGCAAGATGTTGCTTCCTGTTGCTAGTGACAGCACTGAGCATGGCAACACAATACAGGGCTCCAGATAATGGGCCGTATCGGCGTATGTATGGATTTAAAATAAGCACGATACGGTAGGAAATAATTTAGATAACGTAGCAGATACGCACCACAGCAAGTACAGACGAATTTGTTAGAATCATTTGTTTTATTGTTTATTGACCTGTTTACACAAGAGTAGCAATGTTGTGGTGCATATATGAAACGAAACACAAGATTACTGATACTCCATTAAATTCCATTCAGTACTCTAAATGTACTTTTATTGTTTTCCAGTACTCCTAAATTGAAAAAATAAAGTATGTACCCTGATCATGAAAAATTATCTGGAGCCCTGCAATAGAAATGGGTTTAATGCAACAATACTCCAGCTATATCACAATAAGGGACACCGAAATGAGCTGAAACCTTGTACCCATGTGGGGAATTGAACCTGTCTGTCATATTACCAAGGCCTGCTTTCATCTAGTCTAGCTCCTAAAGAACTTTTCCTGAAGCTCTTACCCTCGGACACAGCGACAGTGAACGTATCCCCACAGGCAACCTGCCTGATGTTACATGTCTGCTGAAACTGCACCTGGTTCGGTCGTCTGGTGGGGAAGTCCGACTCGTAGCCAAGCTGACCGAACTGGTTGGCACCAAAGGTGAATACTTGCCCTTCAACTGGAATTTGAAGAGTAATAAAGGCTATGTTTTTACTCTAAATGAGCACTGAGTTCTCAGGCCCCAATTTCTTGAAACAAACTTAAGTCTGAGTTTTGACTAAAGTTCGAGATTTTACTCAAATTTGAGAAAACACAGAAAACTGCATTTCCCAGAATAAACTGAAATCGATATTAAACTCAAACATAGTAAACAATTTGAGTTTGGTGGATATATTACTTAAGTTGTTTTGGCTTTTTTATTTCAAAAATGCAGTTGAGTTAAAAATTCAGCTGTTTCAAATTGTCAAACTCAGTTTGAAATTTGAGTAAAAACTTACGTTTGTGTCGAGAAATCGGGGCCTGATAACATTGCACGTGAGGTACACATAACATCATTTCAACAACTGACAACACAGTGTGACATACAACCATTACAACACAGACACTGGGTTGTAGTGTATTTACACATACATTTGAAGTGTTGACGACATTTTTATGGACAGTATGCAAACAGTAGGAGAAAATTGTACATCGTCCATCTTCATCTACCCTGTGACCAGCAGTGAATGGGAGCTCTTTCTGGTAGAGGTTCTTACCTGTTGCCATCATAAAGTTGGACCTCTTTGTGTTGAAAACAATTGCCAATCTTACCTGTGACAAGCATTGTGTAGGAGTTCTGTCTTAATAAAACGTGTCAATTTTATCTGTGACAAGCACTGAGTTGGAGCTCTTTCTGTCAGACGCCTGACAATCTTACCCGTGACCAGTACTGCATGCGAGTTCTGTCTTGTATAGATACCTTCCAAGTTTATGTGTGACCAGCATTGAGTGAGAGCACTGTCTTTAACTGACAAGTCAATCTTACCTGTGACGAGCGCTGAGTGGGAGGTGCCTAGAGCAACAGTCTTCACAGGGCAGTTTGTGATTGGCTGAGAGGCGACCAGTGTAAAGATGGATGTCTCCTCCACACTCCGTCCATCAGTCTCGTCCAGACCAAGCTTGTTGAACCTAGCCAACAGACAGGTTTTACACATTAATACAAATGCTTATAGCATCAAGATAGTGAATGTTTTCTTAACACTAGCAATATATTTAACTCACACTTTTAAATTATGTGTAATTTAAACAAGATGTGGAAACACTGCAAGGAAAAAACAATAAATATGTTGTATTTCAATTGAATATGTTGTGAGCTAGTTGTGTAATATCAAACCAATGCATTGTTCATGCTGTTAGATTTATCATTGTACTGCATCACATTTCATTATTGTCAACAATTTACACATATCTAAGGTACCACATGAATTTTGTCAGAGCTTTTTCACTCTCTATTCTTTTTCAATTTGAGGAATGCTCCCATTCTAAAATGGTCCTTATTTTTCACATACATTTTGTTTGTCAAGTAAAACATACAATACTTTCTCTGTAACTTCATATATTGCTTGTTGCAAGAACATGGGCATTGTAGACCAACAACGACCAAAGTATACAGTGAGGTAGACTCCCACCTGTTGCTGCCAGTACACAGGAGTTTGTTGTCAAGGGTGACGATCATGGAGCAGTCCACGCCGCAGTGAACTGAGCAGGGGCGGAGGGTGTCGTGGATCTGGACAGGCAGGGGGTTATTGCACGAGTCTTGGGTACCCAGCCCGAGGCGACCTGGTGACGAGATGCACAGCTTGTACAGACTGATTGTGTGAAATTTTGAAACTTTATGTAATTTCTGTAGATATTATTTATATGATACACTACTGAAAAGAACTTAAAGAAAAAAGAAAAACAATTTGTTCATATGACTCTTGTAACATATCATGTCACTGTCATGACTGATTAACATTAGTCTTATGAATAAATCAGGTGTTCTTTACTTCTTTTAAGTAGTATACTGAGGGACAGAAAGAGAGGAATGACTGACAAAGAAGCATGAGTTTAATGTGAAATTTTGTCCGGTTGTAACTATCACATTTACCATATACACTCCATGTGAGGTTAATGTGACACACTGAATGTTGCAAAGCATGCCTGTATGTTTCTGGCTACATCACAACTCAGCCCACTTCATTGACTTATTGTTATCCAAAATGACTGAAAGATACTTTATATTACTGATTCTAGATAAGATGTCCTGTATCATCTGTAACAAGTCTAGCAGTCCAGAAGTCATGCCAAGGGAAAACCAAATGTCCTGGCACCACAAGAATTGGTGAATGTTTGGTGTATTCTGTCAGTATGGCTTCTGTTAATACAGCATGTGGCCCTCATCATGCCCCTCCAGTTTCGAGCTCCCTCTTCTTAAAATACAAGCCACTTCTGCTGATTAGAACCAGAGACTACATAGTCTGTCTCAGTCTCAGAATCATGTCATTCACCCTTCTGCCCAATCCTCACTGTAATGATAGAGTCCCTAATGAAGCAAGTCTAGATTAGCTCATAATCTGAATCTCCAAACTGACTGGCTCCTTTTAAGTTTAAATTGATTTGCTTGTTTCCATTAGAATAACATATATTTCAGAGGCTAACTATGAGCCTCCAAGGCATGATTTCGGCAATGTTTATGAGGTCATGCACTTTGGTTTTAACAATGCATCAGTGTTTTACATTACCCTACTTCACAGAAGAGTTGCTATTTACACATCGTCTTGTACCTACCGTTATCGCCACGCCCCCAGGAGAACACTTCATGTTCATTGGTCACAGCCAGAACATGTGATGCACCACATGACACCTGTATCACTTCGTAACCAAGCAACGCTTCCACAATTTTGGCCTTGAAGTAGAAATAGAATTATTGTTAAAATAAAGAATACACATGTTTCAAGTAACATGTAACGTAACACCAAGGCCAGTCAATACACAACTCACATGAGCGACATCGTTTAAGTTGCCATGTCCCAGACAGCCATTAGCACCACTTCCATACGTCATGAGTATACCCCGATCTGATGAAAACAATGACAACATGACACACAGTGCAGCAGGAAACATACACAGAGACCATGTTACGCGTCACTAGCTGGTGTACTATGAATGTGTCACATGTGGTATGTACTGTAAGTGACGTGTCAGTTAGGTGAGGTGAGGTGAAATTGGGTTTTACGTCATGCTTGAGAATATTTCGCTCATATGACGACGTGCATGCGTGTGTATGTGTATGTGCGGCTGCTTGTACTAGCCCAGACTGAAGCTGGTTTTATAGTGCTAGCCCACTGAGATACCATGCCACAGTGAAGCATGAATACCCCACTCAAACACATTATACTGACTCCGAGTCGACCAGTCCATGTTGTACCCATTAATGCCGAGCGCCAGGCAGGGACCCGTGTCAATTAGGGTTGGATATCGATATAGATCATAGAGGTTAATAATCATCAGCTGAATATTGACCGATTATCGATAAATATCAGAGAAGTAACTTTAAGCAAAAATGCAGAAATTAATCAGACAGAAATCAACATATTTTACGTCACAGGTTAGTGGTGACATATTCATGCTTGGATTACGAACAAAACAACATTCTGAACAAACTTTAGAAACAGCCCATAAATATAGACCTAACTTTGTGTATTGTTAGAGTAAATTTCATCAGAATAATTTATGTACCATATTATCAATTACACAGTTTTCATAATTGATAATCGTTAAACATTTTCTGCATTGATGACGTATCCGATCATCGACCATTAGTGGACTACCATCATCACATTTGCCAAGTAAGTCGAGACAATTGTGTGTCACAGCAAGCCACTCACCTGTGAGGCAGGCCATGAAGAGATCCCCGCAGGCCACGTGTTGGATTGTGACGGCAGCCTGACCCTCCAGGTAGCGGGGGACGTACGCTGGACTTGCCGTGTCCACACTGCCCGGGATTGACATCTCCGTCCCAACACCGGGGGACTGAAAGACATGTAGTCACATGTTAGTAATTATTAGGCCTAGAGTGAGTGAGTGAGTATGGTTTTATGCTGCTTTTAGCAATATTCCAGCAATATCAGCAATAAGTGGGCTTCACACATTGTATCCATGTGGGGAATCAAACCCGGGTCTTCGGTGTGACGAGCGAAGCTTTAACCACTAGGCTACCCCTACCTATTAGGCCTAGAGTACTCTTTAGGTAATAATGATTGTGTGTGATTTACAGATCTTTTAGCAGTATTCCACCATACTTCTAGCAATATCACAGCAGGCCAGCAGAAATAGTCCACACCCTGCACAGTAAATCTGAGTTATGAAGACTACTAGGCCACACTACCCTCTATGTGCAGAACAAAAGAAGGGTCTTTGAGTTCTGGGGCACAATATCAGTGTATGAAATAAGCCAAAAATCCAGCCAGACATCAGGGCAGGTAACTTCAAAATGTTACCAGCCCAAAATGGATTTAACCAGACCAAATATGGTGAATTTACTTAGATGTATGGAACATCTGCAATTTTTGGCAGACCATCAACTGTGGCTACCTGTAAATTTAGACTGTGGCAGATAATACATCTAGATCGCCTCGGCGGCAGATAATGGGCCTTACTGTCTCTACACTGACAATATCTACACTCATGGATTTCACCCTGGTGATAACTGTCTCTGACCTGTGCCACAACTGTGGCAGATAAAACAACTGTCTCTGACCTGTACCACAACTGTGGCAGATAATACAACTGTCTCTGACCTGTGCCACAACTGTGGCAGATAATACAACTGTCTTCTGACCCTGTACCACAACTGTGGCAGATAATACAACTGTCTCTGACCTGTACCACAACTGTGGCAGATAATACAACTGTCTCTGACCTGTACCACAACTGTGGCAGATAATACAACTGTCTCTGACCTGTACCACAACTGTGGCAGATAATACAACTGTCTCTGACCTGTACCACAACTGTGGCAGATATTACAACTGTCTCTGACCTGTACCACAACTGTGGCAGATAATACAACTGTCTCTGACCTGTACCACAACTGTGGCAGATAATACAACTGTCTCTGACCTGTACCACAACTGTGGCAGATAATACAACTGTCTCTGACCTGTACCACAACTGTGGCAGATAATACAACTGTCTCTGACCTGTACCACAACTGTGGCAGATAATACAACTGTCATATGATTCTTTTGTTGATGGTGTATGAACATTGCCATGAAATAATAGATTCTGGGCCATACTGTCTATCATCGTTCATAACTACTCTAACAGTTATGGATTATCATAGCATTACCAAATAAGCAGAACATGCATCTTACCTCCCACACAAACAGCCTGCCATTCTTTGTAATGGCCGCCTTCTGTGTTCGACCTGTGGACACCTCTATCACCTGCGTCTCGAAGCTAGGGAAGGGGAGTTTCACTGGGGATGTCTTCCCCCCTCCCCAGCAGTACACAGAACTCAGGGCAGCAGGTTTGGCAGGGAGGCCTTCTGATTGGTTCAAACATGTTTTATTGACAATCAATAGGATCAGACAAAAAGTTCCAGGTACGCACTTTAAAAACTATCCTCTTTAAAAAACACAGAAAGATCGTTGTATCAAATAGGCAATCATCTATTGACAACCAGCATAGATGGACACAAAAGCATGTATACGTTTATTTTTTCAGTTAACTGACAGCCTCAGGTCACAATAATGCATGTCCAGCTAGGTTACCCACGGTAACCACCAATGGGTCAATGACCAGGCAGAGGTGTTGATGACCTCACTGATCCACAATTATAATGGGCTGCACAATTTAGTTCAAGCAGTCATATATAGGAAAAGTCCACTTATTGCAATATCTAGAATTTGGTCTTGGCTGGTTACCTCCAAGTATCAAAGAATATTGCCGAGTGGGCTTAATCTAATGTACCCAATTGTTGTCTCACTTTGACGCACAGTACGAACTCTAACACGTAGAACTTGATCATTCTAAACTGGAAATGAGCAGCACATAGCTAAGCACTGTCCCTCAATAAGGTATAACTTGTCAACTCACCCCGAGATGACAGCATCCCCCTCGACACTCGACCCCTCCCAGTGCCAGGGATGCTGGATAGAGGTCTTTGGATTCTGAATGACAAAGAGGACATGCCTGAAAAATTGATACAAACACAAGCAGCTGTTTTAGTCAACTGTACATTGCCACAGACTTTCCAGGTCTTGTGACTCAAAATCAGTACACACATCTGCTGAGGTGTTCACAAACAGAGCCCACATGGCAACATACTCATGTGGTGACTTGAAGAAGAAAAACATCATCTTAATTGTCCTTCTTTATCATTTTCCTCCATCCATCCCACATAACTTTCTTCCTTCATGTATACATCAAAACTAGGCTGTAGTAAATTTAATCCATTAATAATTAATACTGATTTCCCTGGCATAAAACTAAACTCACACACTCACTCCCTGTAATAAAACCATAGAGACTAAGGTTTACATAAGTGCATAGTGCAACTATGGTAGTGGTCCAGAAAACCTGATTGTTTATAGGGTGTCACGACACGTGAATGTATACATTTTACTGACGATCGATCACGATACGCCGATACATGCTTATGCGTGATATCGATTCCTATTTTATAACTTTATCGATTCAAAACCCAATAGTTTATGTTACTGGTCAATATTTAAGCACAAGTGATTCACCTGATACAACAATGTGTGAAGCCCATTTCTGATGTCCCCCGCCATGATATTGCTGGAATATTGCTAAAAGTGGCGTAAAACCAAACTCACTCACTCACTCACCTGGTATAAGGGACCTTGCCCATGTCTGTGTGAAGAGTGAGAAGTGCATTGATGACAATCGGCTGTGCCATGATCTGGTTGATGTCAGGTCGCTTGTTAGGGTCAAGGTGAAGCATACTAAGAATAAGGGAACGTAATTCTTCACTGTAGTGGTCGGAGATGGGTGAAAATGTCCCACGCATAATCTTTAGAATGAGGGCTGGCAAGTTCTGGAAAAAGGTTTTGGACATGTATTAGGATTTTTGAAAGGATGGTATCCTTGCTGTTATGTGAAATGGAAAAGTGAACTCCTTATAATCTTACTACTGGTACTACTGTCATATATTATTGATACAACTCCTTACAGTTTAATATCTTGATACTACTAGATTTGCCTTTTCTTACAATGGGGATGAATTCCTGCTTACCGCAGCTTCAAAAGCCCTCTTGAGGCTGGCAAGTTCATACAGCACACAGCCTAGAGCCCAGATGTCACTCTTCTGGTTGTAGCTGACAATGTTAAGTTGTGATAACATGTGTAACATAGCAAATATACAATAGCTGACTGGTTGTAGTTGATGATAACATTTATGAACCTTGTGTTATATAGCATATATACCATCGCTGCAAAGTGCCAGATAATATGACTGGATGCTTTTATTAGCATAGTTTTATATAGCATATTTACCATGGCTGTAAGGAACTAGATAACATCACATGTTGTAGCTGATGTTAACTATTATTCACATAGTGTTATATAGCATATATACCATCGCTGCAGGACCGCCTCCGTGGTGTAGTGGTTAGAGCGTCCGCCCGGAGAGCGGAAGGTCGCGGGTTCGATCCCCGACCGCGTCATACCAAAAGACGTTAAAATATGGTACTTGTTGGTCCCTGCCTGGCGCTCGGCATTAATGGGTACAACAAGGACTGGTCGGCTCGGAGTCAGTATAATGTGTCTGAGTGGGGTATTCATGCTTCACTGCGGCATGGTATCTCAGTGGGCTAGCACTATAAAACCAGCTTAAGTCTGGGCTAGTACAAGCAGCCGCACATACACATACACACGCATGCACGTCGTCATATGAGCGAAATATTCTCAAGCACGACGTTAAACCCAATTTCACCTCACCTCACCTCACCATTGCTGCAAAGAGCTAGATAATACCAGTGGTTGCAGTTGACAACATTTAGTTATGATATCACAGTGTAATGAAGTCCATATACCAAAGGTGTGCAGAGTAGTGGTGTGACGATTCATCGATACGCACCGATGCATCGACCCATGGGCCGCCGATACAGTGAATCGATACAAACTTTTACATTTTCGTATATCCCGATACGATACTTCAAATGGGCCACGATACATTGATGTTTAACTTTGAATATTGCCGAATCGAGATATCTGTCAAGAAAAAAGACTTACCTTTGTTTGATGATTAGGAAATAAGCTTACTTATTATCTCTTCATAAGTAAATGTTTTCCCGGAAATTCTTGTGTCCAGAACTGAGTCAGACATTGTGCTCGCATGTGATTAACATTCACAAAGTCCGTGTATAAACTTAATTATCTCGTTTCCGAATGAACACTGAAAAACGCTCGAGGAATTTGATGAAATACTTTAAAATTGTTTTGTTTTGATATTAAGGTGTTTTATAGTTGCTGTTAGAATTAAAGATTTTAGTATCGTGATAGGTATCGTATCGCGACCCTTATATTGGGATTCGTATCGTATCGCAGCTTCAACGCACAATACTTTGGCAATATATCGTCGTGACTAAAATTTTAGTATAGTGATGTATCGTATAGCAGGTTGTATGCCAATACCAGCACTAGTGCAGAGTGGAAGAAAACATCTCTGGTAGTAGGTAACAATATGAGGTTGTGATAACATAACCACTATACCCTGGTTTCACACTACAATCAGCTAAAACATGCAGTATATGACATGAGCCATCTGGGGTAGAACAATCAATTATGTCTCATGTTGCTAAATTCAAATTTCCATTTTATGTGAAATGATGGAATAAGCACAGGTAATGATTCTTATTTTAGCTTAATTCCAAAGTAAACTTGCACTGTATACCTGCCCAAAGTTCTTAGCTGATGTTTCTCAGTATGGTGTCTAGAGAAACCAAACTCACAGTGTTTGGAGACTATATGTACCATATATACCTGTCCCCTGATAGGATCAACTTAAAGTTCCCATAAACATAATAGCGGGTGAGCCAAACAAGTATCCCCACAAGGTTTAATTTCTTGTAACATTCAATACAATTCTTCTTCAATGTAAGGATACGGCTTTCCCTCACAGAGCTCTGGGGATATGTAGCAAGGGGTCCCCACAACCTGAAAATACATTAAACAGGACCGTTTATGCAAATAAACAAACAGCCAAACATATTCAGGATAACTTACGACCAAGCATTCAATATTTAGGAGGCATGGACTTTTGTTGAAGATACATACAACTGAAAAAATATTTTAAAACAATATCCCCTGAAAAATGAATTTATTCCATTAAGAAATTTCAGAAAATTTCACAAGTTCCATTCTAAACATTTTACAAGTTTCACTTCATCACTATCACTGACGTAATATCTGTGGAACATGTGAAGACACAGTTTTCAAGAGTGAACTTCGCTTCCCCCGAAAAGATGGTGATTAAATTATTCTGTCAAGTCAACACACTTACAGTAAATGCTTTGCTTTTGCTGCTGAGAACTTTAGATATCCCAAAGTCACCAATCTTCACTATTTCCTTCTTCTTAGCCAGGAGAATGTTTTGTGTCTTCAGATCTCGATGCAGGATATTCTTCGAGTGGACGTGTTGCAGAGATAACAGCATTTGGGCAAAGAATTTCAGTATTTCCTGTTAACACACACAGAGCTTACTTACAGGAGTAAAATATCTCAGTAGTGAGTGAGTGAGTTAAGTTTTATGCTGCTTTTAGCAATATTCCAGCAATATCACGGTCGGGGGACAACAGAAATGGGCTTGATACATTGTGCCCATGTGGGGAATTACACCTGGATCTTCGACATGACGGCGAACACTTTAACCACTAGGTTACCCCACCACCCAAATATCTCTGTAGTTACAAACAAAACAACATGACATAACAAAAGTATCTTTATTATTTAATTTTAGGTTGATAGTTATTGATCAGCAATCTCAGTGATATGTTAAATTATTTATTTCAATGATCAAATACAGTGAAATGTTTTTATAGTTTTCCAGGTAAGTCAGATTCCATTCCAACTAACATCACAGTCCTGGTCAACATTAAAGTCTAATATCTGCACTCAGACTCACAGTGGACATATTTCTGTTGGTCCTGATGTGCATAAAAAATGTCGATCCACTATCTAGAAAGAATATGAGAAGGAACATAAGAAGAATAATGATCTTACATCTTCTTCCAACAGATTTGAATTTCTGCTTTGTAGGTAATCCAGCAATGTTCCCCCTGCAACAGTGATGACAGTAACCACGGTGACATATTGCTTTAGTTGAGCTGAGTAACGGAATATCAATTTTTGTAGACTTTGTATTGCATTTGTTAAAGGCACTTTATCACACCACACTTCTCTAAAAATAAATAATGTATTTCTCTCAATCATACTATTAGCCCTAAGGGAAGCTACCACATAATTTATTCCAAAATATATTACACATTTAGATTACAATATTGAATTAAAAAGTTCGAATGAATTAATGCAACGTTGCATTAAATAGACTCTCGAGCGCCCTCTATCGGCTGAACATTATTTCAAGCAAACCCCATAGAGTTATGTCCCTTGGAGTGCTCTTTACGAAAATCCTACGCTCAACTTGTGATTGAGGCCAGTGCGGCAAATACCGACAACACTGCGTGCGACAGTTTCGATGTACAGAGCAATTGTTTACATTCCATATATGGCAAGTGTTCTGATTGGAAGCTGTTTGCCTCAAAGTTTCAATTATTGATTTCAGGCAAGTTGTAAGGGATAATAAGTCTTATATTGCATCAATATGAGTGAGTGAGTGAGTGAGTGAGTTTAGTTTTATGCCGCACTCAGCAATATTCCAGCTATATGGCGGTGGTCTGTAAATAATCGAGTCTGGACAAGACAATCCAGTGATCACCAGCATGAGCATCGATCTGCGCAGTGGGAAACAGATGACATGTGTCAAATAAGCCAGCAAGCCGGACCACCCAATTCTCTTACGACAAGCATGGGTTACTGAAGGCTCATTCTAACCCGCACCTTCACGGGTCTGCATCAATATGAAGCTAAAGTGAGTGCATATGACCAAACATATATATTATAGGCCAAAATAATGTCGAAAATGTGTGACATTGTGCTTTAAAAAACTGCTGGTATCCCAGGTACCTTCTAAGTTTCAAATATGAGCTCATATCACTTTATAGACAATAGAGAAAAGACTTATGGATGAATTTAACACTTTCATTAATTTGTCTGTAGGTTCTAAAGGTTAACTGATGTCAATTTTCAGATGAATGTATCAAAACTTGTTTTCTACAGCTGAACAAACATATCAATACTCAAAGAAATAATGACTTTATTAAGCACCTTGTGCATATTCCATTACAATCATTAAAGCCTTGTCTTCCAGGAAATTCTCATAATATTCTATAATGTTTGGGTGATGCAGCATTGACAAGACTTTGACTTCATTCAGGGCTGACTGTCTCTCCTCCTTTGTCATCTGCTCCACTGGGATCTGTTTTATTATCACAAGTTTGTGGTCGTTGAGTCGACAGCATAAGTGGACGGTGCTGAAATAGAAGCATAAATTAGTAAACAGAAAAAATGTCTTTCTGATATAAAATGCTGGCTATTATATACAATAATGAGGAACTTTATGATGTGTTAGTCAACACTCTAAAACATGTTCAAAGTGGTGTGTTAGCATCATTAGTACCCCAGCCAATGGATCAGTGTGCTCTCATATTCCCCAAGGGGCTGTGGGGTAACCTTGTGGTCAAAGCGTTCCCTCATCACGCCGAAGACCGGGTTTGATTCCCCACATGGTCATGATGTGTGAAACTCACTCACTCACTCATATTCCCCAGCTCCCTGGGCAGTAGACAACCTCAGCTGTTTGTGAGGTGCTGGAAGGTCTACAGTCACGTTATCATCCCACCGGGTACCCATTCTGTGCTGTGTGAGAAGAAGCATGTGCTACATGTGCTTTAGTTACATACCTAAGTGCATGCCACATATGTCACATGTTTCATTTTCGGGTGGGGTGGGGACAGGAACAAAGCCTCTGCAACTCTCAAGAGAAAAGCTGCTGAATGAGATCAATCAACCATCTACACTCTGTGTGCAACATTGCCTAATTTAATCTGACTAGTGACCTGTGTGCTGTACACAGAATCATGTGCCACCTATAAAGCTCCCTTAAGGATCATGTTACTGATAACAAATTGTAAATACATGATTGTGTTCATAATGAAAAATACACATCCATTTGCAACCCAAATTGTTTTTCTGTAGATTCAACTTGATTTTCTATCTTATAAAGCCATCTAAAATGAAAATTGGAAGATGCAATGCAGTTACTATATCTCCTGCTCTATTGTTTATCATCATCTATTCTGTATGCCTGTGAGTAGTAAGAATGCTGTAGCTATATGATAGTGGTCTGTAAGTTATCAGGACTGAACCAGACGAACCAGTGATTGACATCATGAACACTGATCTATATGCAATACAGATATGACATGCATCAACCAAGTTATTGAGCCAGTCACACTGATTCCATTAGTCGCATCTTACAAGAAGAATACTATTTCTAACAGGTATCTCGAGAGGGATTTGCAACATATAGGCCTATAAGTATAAACACCATAGGCAGTTTGGTTGTGTCACCATTCTCTGTGATTGTGCATTGTTGTTCATGCTGTCAATGGTAGGTCTCGCAAAGTCTCAGTTATTACATGCCGCTCAGAATATTGCTGACAGTGGTGTGAAACAACATTTCAATCCCTCCCACTTTAAGGTTTTTGCCCCAGAATAGGCATCATAAATGGTATAACGTAAGAGTAAGACCATAAAATGTCCACATGACTATCCATGTTTCAATCAAACAATTCCTGAATTACCCATAAGCACCACGTCCCACAACTCTGATCTTCTCGTATTTATCCATAGTTTTTGTTGTTTTTCGTTTCACAGTTTTATCTGTCAAGAAGTATTGGGAAGCTGCATCACTCAGACAACATGTAAACGATCTGCAGCTCCCGGTTCGCCGGAAGCGGAAGTCGCGCACCTGCGTGAGGATAAGAAAATGGCTACCATCTCTACACGGCTCGTCAACTCAAGCATAAGAAAGCTTCGTTTAGTAGTGTGTATTATGAATGACTGTGAACGGCACTATGCATGCTCTTTTTTCTGACAACTAATTGTGTTTTATGCAACAGTCAAATGAAAGATTCACACCTTATTTCCACTGAAATTTAGATCGAGACGTTTCATGCCGACAATTTGGACATGGTCATGTTGATGCTGAAACAGTGTTTCTGGATTTCAGTTTATGAATGTGTATTTTCGTTTGTTATATGACATGAATGGCACTGAGTTAAAGAACTGCATGAAAATCGGTATAAGTGAATATAGAATGACAAGGCAGGTGATAAACATGTAAATGACTCAAAGTTATCTCCTCTTGTGTCTTGAACACCTTTGATTGGTCAAGTAAATCACACCCACGACATACCCCCACGGTCACGGTGCCCTCATGAAAATGTTTAGTCATGCACTCATCGGATTCAGTTGTTGCTTTTTCTGTTACTTGTTTGCTGGTATAAATCAAATCATTATAGTATTTAAAAATTATTTTGTATTTTGCTATTCATAAATTAAGTTCTTTATGGTTAGATTCTTGAAAAGCTAAATGGCACACACTCTATATTTTAGCTGGGTTTACTTAAAGTTAAAATGTGAATGTGAAACAATCTAGCAGAATGACTTCTAATAATGATTCCCTTATTTTTGACAGATTGGAAGGGTAACCAATAGTGTACGTGGTGACCTGTCACACTGTCAGACCATGGATTCAGGGGCAATTCTCCCTAATGGATTCCATGCTTGAAAAACATTATACATATGTCCCTGTCAGAACATAAAAGGAATATTTTTTTAAAACTCTACTCACCTATGCAAACATCCCACCATGGATTTGAGGTGAATTCAATGACTGACAAGAAAAGAGAAGCTCTTCAAATGTACAGTTTCAGCTTTGTTATCATAATCTGTTTAGTCTAGAAGCTGAACTGTGGGTCAGATTCTTTGTCTGCATTGTCATTTACCCCTCACTCATTCATGTTTTTGTAGAATCTGTTGTGGAATTGCCATGTGACCTTGACACAATGACAAGTTGACAATAAAATATTTCTGTTTGAAGGAATCAATCAATCAATTTTTTTCTGCCTCATTTTTCTAAAATGTGCAGTTAGAAAAATATTCACAATATTCAACAGTGAACACTTCAACAGAAAATGGTTGTGAAAGCTGATTCTAGTGTTGTTGTTGAATGGCATTTAGAAGTGATACACATTATGTTAATGTATGAGGGATTCTAAGTGCCATGCTGAGATACAAGTATCTGAATGCAAGACAAGGTAATGTGTTTTCATGTAGATATGTAGAGGTATGTTACTTATTTTCAAACAGGCCTGTGGTGTTGCTAAGCGCAGACTGTACCAGACTGTTTCTGCTGCAAGTCACATTACTGGGAGTGGTGGTGAAAACAAACAGAAGTTTAGACCGACAACTCTTCAACCAAGATATTTTCAAACATCTTCAGGTATTTGTTTTGTGTTCTATTTCTTTGAAAGAAATGAGACATTTCTGGGCATAGCGTTATTCAGAGTTATTCATTATGTGTCTGGAATACTGTTCAAAGTGGTGTTAAACCCAGCTCACTCACTCACTCTTCTTGTTTCAGCACTTCAAGATGTTGTGCAGTTCAAGTTGTCCGATATTGGTGAAGGGATCAGAGAGGTCATCATCAAGGAATGGTATGATGGTTCTCTATCTCATACATTGTATTTCAGACCAACCTCACTGTATAATTGTGTTCTTACAGCAGATGCATATTGTTGAGTTAATGACTTTTTTAAATAAACCCTCCACCTCACACAAACATATGGTAATCTGCTCATAATCTCATTGTGATTGTTTATGACTCTGTTTCTGCAATGTCCCCACAGTCATGACCTGTGCTTCATGCTTTTCCTCCCACATCATGGCCTAATGTTCTAACTTGCTCCCTGTATCCTAGCAACCTATTACAAACTGTCTTAAGGCCATTCCTGTTTTCCTGTGTCAAGAGTAGGGAGCTGCCCTCTATCAGCGAGTCCATAGCTATACCTGATAGTGAATGACATTATATCATACCAGCTGTTCATTCTTATTGAAAGGAGCATTGGCATTATGCTGTGAAATAGAATTCATAACAAGAGTCTTCATTCCAATGGACCAAACCAGTCATTTCTTTATCTCTTTCAGTAGATTTTCAGGATTAAAGCTGACTTATGTTTTCACTGTTCCTCAAAAAAGATTTTCTACAGATCCATCTACATACATAAAAGTGACCTTGTCTTCTTGAATTTTATTAGTCTGTGTCTAGCATGAGCATGATGTGTTGAGTCACTGTGACAAAATTACTAGATGCAGCATGTTCCGGCTTTACAATAGCAGCTTTCATTGCAGACTAAGTTACTCCAGCTCATTACTCGCAGCAATATTTTCTGCTTATATGTGGGAGTCAACTCACTAAAGAATACAAATGTGTGGGGGTCAACTTGACCTCAATTATATTAGTGAGCGAGTGAGAGTCCTACTAACCTCAATTACATAATACAGCTCTATGGGGTCAACTTGACCTTAAGTACAGTAGGGGCTGTGGGGTAGCCCAGTGGTATAGCATCAGCTTGTAACACTGAAGGTCTGGGTTCGATTCCCCCGCATTGTACAATGTGAGAAGCCCATTTTTGGTGTACCCATTCATGATACTGCTGAAATATTGGTAAAAACAGCGTAAAACCATGCTCACTCAGTTAAGTACAGAATACAGGTGTATTTGGGTCAGTTTGACCTAAGTTACACAATACAGCTGTATGAGAGTCAACATGACCCCAGTTACAAAGTACAGTAGTGTCAAATAAAGCTGTGTCAAACTGACCTAAGATACAGAGTACATCCATTTGAAGGTCAGCTTGACCCCAGCAACAGAATACATCTGTATGGGACTGAACCAGATGTCAGCAACAGAGTACAGTCAGATAGAAGTTAACTTCACCTCAGTTACAGATGCCACTGTATTGGGGTGAACTTGACCTAAGAAACAGGATACAGCATGGGAGTCAGTTTGACCTTAGGTACAGAATACAGCTTCTCAACTTCACCTAAGATCCAGAATGCATTTGAAGGGGAGTCAATTTGACCTCAGTTACTTGAGTTACATAATCATGATAATAAAGCTGTGTTGGAGTCAGCTGGACCTCAGTTTCTGACTACAGTGGTACTGGGGTCAGCTTGACCTTAGGTCCAGAATACAGCCATATTGGGGTCAAGTTGACTGTGGGCACAGAATACAGCCATATTGGGGTCAAGTTGACCTTAGGTACAAAATACAGCTGCATGGAGGTGAACAAAATAGTTTGGCACATGTTTTCTAGGTGACACATTTCTCTTTGTAGGGTTATGTACTTGGGGAACTCCAGAAACCCATTATCAAATCATCTGATTCTGTATCTAGGCTTTTTGGCATTACACCCATGTTTACAAGTTTCACCAAACTCTTACACATCTAGGACCTGCATCATTTGCAAGTTTGAATAAAGCAGCATAAAACCAAACTCACTCTCTGCCTGTTACCAACTTGCTAAACAAAATTATATTCCAACAACTTCTGAAGAATTGTGACTCCTGTATTTCAGGTATGTTTCTGAAGGTGACAAGGTCGCTCAGTTTGACAGCATCTGTGAAGTTCAGAGTGACAAGGCATCCGTGACTATAACCAGTCGCTATGATGGCATCATCAAGAAACTCCACTATGAAGTGGATGGTACAGCATTGGTGGGTGAAGCATTGGTGGACATTGAGACAGAAGGCACCACCAGTAAGTCTTGTGTGAAATAGCTGTCAAATTCATTGTCTTTTCCAGCTCTGCAATGCATTGTCTGACAAATTGTCAGAGTTTTAAAAGTGATCTTTGTGTTTTACATGAGCAATTTCTTTGCCAAAGCTGGTGTTTTGGGAGATTTAGATAAAACAGTGCAGTCATTTTGTTTCATTTTCACCCCTGTGGGTTCACAGTCTTCTTGTTATCTGAGGGCTGTGGGGTAGCCTAGTGGTTAAAGCGTTGGCTTGTCACGCCAAAGACCCGGGTTTGATTCCCCACATGGGTACTATGTGTGAAGCCCATTTATGGTGTCCCCGCTGTGATATTGCTGGAATATTGCTAAAAGCGGCGTTAAGCCATACTCACTCACTCTTGTTATCCGAGGCACCATTCACTGTGCAGAGTTGCTTCCCTTGAACACTGAAACTGATGATTGTGGATTGGAATCCTGGCTAGCCCCAATCATGTTTCTAGGTTTGTCCGCTCCATACCCTAACTCATGGGTTTCACCAAGGTGGTAAACGTCTGAGACCTGCAGCTTTTAGATTTCTTCCCATTTTTAGCTGGTAGACTGTCATAACCAGAATACTATTCAAAGCGACATAAAACACAACTCACCTAAGCATTCACTCCCTCTCGCTCTTACTCCAGGTCACAAGCAGGAGGAAGATGTTGAAGTAGATATCTCTAGCAAGGAACTGCGGCTTGAGGACCACTCCATGCAGATGACCACATCTGGCCGCAAAGTGCTGGCAACACCAGCAGTCAGACGACTGGCCATGGAAAACAAGGTATGTGACACCACAGAGGACACTTCTACTGTGACCTGGGGCAGTGGGGTAGCCTAGTGGTTAAAGCGTTGGCTCGCCATGCCGAAGACCCGGGTTCAAATCACCACATGGGTACAATGTGTGAAGCCCATTTCTGGTGTCCCCCGCCGTGATGTTGCTGGAATATTGCTAAAAGCGGCGTAAAACCAAACTCAGTCAGTCAGTCAGTCAGTCTACTGTGACCTTGACCTTCACTGACCATTGGCAATATGTCTACATGGTGGTAGGCAAGAGCGTTATCATGCTTTAGTATTGACCTGATGCCCCAGCTGTATGTTAACTGTGATTTGTCAGTGAAGAATGGGAGAGTTACGTTTACTGCTTCCCATTTTTTTACACTTTGTTTTTGTTGTTGTGATTCAGGTACTAATATCATGACAGCATACGTTTGTGTAGTATTAACGTTACGATAATGACCATGTCAGCAAAACATGCTGATATTGGACTGTTTTTACCAGGATGACTGTTTACATACTCGTAAAGATCCTTGGTAGAATTGGTCTTAGCAACCCATCCTTGTTGTAAGATGCGACTAATGGGATCAAATGGTCAGACTCACTGACTTGGTGACACATGTCATCGTGTCCCAACTGCATTGATCAATGCTCATGATGTTGATCGACCCGTGAAGGTCCAGTTTTGAATGTACCTTCAGCGACTAAAGGGATCTGGTGGTCAGGCATGCTGACTTAGTTGACACATGTCATCGGTTCCCAATTGCGCAGATTGATGCTCATGCTGTTGATCAATGGATTGTCTGGTCAAAACTTGATTATTTACAGACCGCCGTCTTATGGTTGGAATATTGCTGAGTGTGGCGTAAAACTAAACTCACTCACTCATGATGTTGATCACTTAATTGTCGTGTATAGATTGCTGCCACATAGCTGGAATATTGCTGAGTGCAGCTTTAAACAACCAACAAAGATGACCAATTTATCAGAAGCAAGGGCAGTCCTAATTCCTGGTAAAGGTTTAAAGATCAATGACCGTGAAATATTTTTCATCTGTATCATCTTCACTCTTTTTTATTTTCCCAGATACATCTGAAAGATGTGGAGGGCCCGGGGAAAGATGGACGCATCCTGAAGGAGGATATCACAAGATACATTGAAAGTCTGGATCATGGTGTTTCTGGTTAGCCTCAGTTGTGCAATCAATCATCACATTGTTTATATTGTTTTCCTCAGTACCTATGTCATATGGACTTTGGTGACCCATGAAGATCCATGCTGGAATTGGACTTCAGCAACCCATGCTTGTCGTAAGAGGCAAATAACAGCATCAGGTTGTCAGACTTGCTGATATGGTTGACACTAAGGCTGTAACGATTCACTTGCATATTCGTTGATCGATCCGTAGCCCTTCATGAATTCAATTCGTTATTCGTGGTCACCAGAACCGAATATTAACGAATATTTATGACTTTTTTAAGGGAGCATGTTTTACTTGAACCCTTATGTGATTTTCCAAAGCGATATATGCAAGAATGGAACATGTACTAGCATTGCAGTAGTGCAAGTCATGTTAGTTTCAGATTTTAATTTGAAGTGTTTTCATCAATATGTTACATTTGTCATTTACAGCAATATGGCATTTCATCGGTATGTCAGTATGTTCATCAATATGTTGCAGCATTTACAGGCAAACAAGCTGCTCCCCAAGCCCCCACTTCACCACCCCAGGCAGACAGGGCACCTGCACCCACCCCACCCCCAGTCCTGAGAACCCCAGCTCCAGTGGGAAAGGACTACACCCAGCCAATCAAAGGCATGCAGAAGGCTATGGTGAAGACAATGAGCATGGCTCTCAAGATTCCGCATTTTGGATATTATGATGAAATTGATGTCACCACACTTGTCAATCTCAGGAAAGATCTTAAGAAGGTTGCAGAAAAAAGAGGCATCAAGTTTTCATACATGCCAGTATTTATCAAGGTGTGTGCCACTGTAAGGTTGTCTTATTGCATGTGCAAAAGCATTCAAGGGAGATAACTTAGAACCTAATTATTGACTCTTTCTAAAACAGATTTGTGTTACTTTTTACTTTTTAAATAATTTTTTGTGTCATTTACTAAATAAATTATCAGTTAAAAAGTTTGCACAAAAGTAATTTCATGTTGATATCTTATGGACTATAACTCTGAAAGTGTTAAAGTGAAAAGGAAATTGAAAAAACCTGAGCCTTGTTATTGTTTTGTTTTTGGTTACATCAGTAAGTAATATGCATCATGATTAAAGCTACATTTCTTAATATTACTTTTGTTACAGGCAGCATCCCTGGCCTTGAGTCAGTTCCCTATTCTAAATTCCAGCATTGATGACAAAGTAGAAAACATCATCGTCAAGGTACTTATTTAGTTCAGTATAGACTTGCTTTCATAACTGAAGTATTAGCATGTTGACTGTATTGTACAACATTAAATTGCATATGGACGGGCATTTTAGCTAATCTCTGGTGAACATCATCTTTCAAATACATATAGTACTGTGTACCTGGAAATTGTTACCAGAATATCATCATCTTTAATTAGTCGGAGCATGGACATGACTCATGGATCCAAGGGAGATAAGTCACAATCACATTTCTCTGTGTTTTCAGCTGGAATACTGCTAACTGAAGCATAAAACAACACTCACTCACTTACCTTGTCAGACCCGTGAAGGTCTGGGTAAGATTGAACCTTCAGTAACCCATGCTTGTCGTAAGAGGCAACTAACGGGATCGGGTGGTCAGGCTTTCTGACTGGGTTGGCACATGTCATCGGTTCCCAATTGCGCAGATCAATGCTCATGCTGTTGATCACTGGAATGTCTGTTCCAGATTAAAGTCGTGGTCTATTGCTGATGTTTCTTCAGATACAGGAATTTATGCATTAAGCAACTCAAATCAGTGCAGTAAGAAGGTAGAATCAATGCCATGGGCAACTCAGCAGCTGGAATCGGTGAATCTGTGCAGAGTTTTGCCCCTTTGCGATGCCATGATCTGCTGATATTAGTCAGACTCATCTTGTTTTGGGTGATATTGGTCAGCTGGAGCAATTTTTCTCTTTTTCAGGCTTCTCATAATATTGGTGTTGCCATGGATACAGCGGATGGCCTAACTGTTCCGAATATCAAAAATGTTCAATCACAGAGCATCTTTGAGCTTGCAGCGGAATTGAATCGGCTACAGCAGTTAGGATCAGCTGGGAAACTTGGCACTGCTGAACTCACTGGTGGAACCTTCTCCTTGTCAAACATAGGATCAGTAAGTCATATAATTGTGTGCATGCTTATGTGTGAGAAAGTTAAATGAGTTCTCTAACGTGTCATTCATGTCATCAATTAGAATCTGATGATTTTCACAGGGATACTGTTATCTTTCTTTGAGGCACAAAACTGATGCTCATATTATGTCCAGTGGGTAGTAAAGAAGATGAGAAAGTTGACATTTTGATAAAATACTATCAACGCCACTTGTGAGGGAAAACATTTCTGAGTAGGGAAAAAAATTCCTTGCATCCTTCCAAAAAGAAAAGAGACAGCACATGTATTTTTGAGCAGGACAAAAAAATGTCAGGATAGAAGCTAAACGCTTGACACTGTTGATGGGTCATTGAAAGTCATGAGGCACAAAGGAACCTGAACTCACTAACTCTCCATTTTGTTCACAGATTGGAGGGACCTATGCTAGGCCTGTGATCCTTCCTCCTGAAGTTGCCATTGGTGCTATAGGCAGGATACAGGTACGTACTTGATGTTATTGAGTCATAACCACAAAAGTTCCTCAGTGTCCTTGTCATAAGAGATTCTCAGTGTCCTTGTCAGAAGAGATCCTCAGTGTCCTTGTCAGAAGAGATCCTCAGTGTCCTTGTCATAAGAGATCCTCAGTGTGATCCTCAGTGTCCTTGTCATAAGAGATCCTCAGTGTCCTTGTCAGAAGAGATCCTCAGTGTCCTTGTCATAAGAGATCCTCAGTGTCCTTGTCAGAAGAGATCCTCAGTGTCCTTGTCATAAGAGATCCTCAGTGTCCTTGTCAGAAGAGATCCTCAGTGTCCTTGTCATAAGAGATCCTCTCCTTCCTTGTCATAAGAGGGCCACTTTTGTGACCCAACATGGTGTCTATATGATGTTTCATAATTGATGTCATTGTTGAACAGTATTCATAAAGTGTCCTTGTCAGAAAATGGAGTTCCCTAGAAATCCTTAATGGTTGTCAGAATAGCTGCAAGATTGCTGAGCATCATGAAACACTAATCACTCACTCTCTCTGGAAAACAAGAATAATTGCAATGTTAGCCATTAAATGAATTGGAAACCTGTGGTTCAAAGGTATGTCATGCTCCATTAATGTAAGTATTTGTTAGATAATTCCTGACATAAATGTAGCATATTGGAGATATCATTTGAATAAAAAAGAAGTTGGATTGTTTCCCTTTCTTGCAGGCTGTACCTCGTTTTGACCGAGATGGCAATGTTCGTAAAGCTCATATCATGCAAGTGAGCTGGTCTGCTGATCATCGAATCATAGATGGTGCCACCATGGCTCGATTCTCCAACCTTTGGAAGATGTATTTGGAGAACCCGACAACGATGATATTAGATCTGAAATGATGTGATATGTACATAGTATTCTCATGATCTTACTCATGGCAACTCAGACAGCGTCACTTTTCCAAATTCAATATGGGCACAAAGTCAGTGGTGTTTGAGTACAATCAAAAAGGCTAGGTATGCTCCATCATATTACTCAGGAAATGCAGTCACTTGTGGAATAGCTTGTACAGACTTAGCAGGGTCAATGAAGGTGCTCATGAGAAGACATCATACTACACTTGGACACATTTTAGAGAATTATCTGGATGCTTTCTGAACACGATTAGGTGTTCCAAATGCCTGTGATATGGCAATGAAACTCTTGTTGAAGGTACCGGTAATATGTATGCGCAAGGGAGGTAATGCAGAGACTTCCAAATTACTTCCCCTTGATATCTTTTCAAAATATTATCTGTACAACCATGTAACAGAACAAGCCATGTTTGTATATAAAACTTGCTAAGATGTATATATAGTTTGTATAGAGTGTGTATGGCAGATTATTGAATTACCATGGTTACTGATAGTTAAAATGGAGTAATCTGTCCGGAATACCTGACTCACCTGTCTCTCAGATGTATGTTGTACTGATTCTCTAGAGCAGTAATGCATTGGACAAATTGATCAAATAGTTGCAAGCATGCATTGTTGTGTAAATGGAGGCTCTCTTTTACTGTAAACCCATGGAGATCTGGGTTAGAATTGATCTTCAGCATCTCATGCTTGTCATAAGAGGCAACTAACAGGATCGGATGGTCAGACTTGCTGATTTGGTTGACACATGTCGTTGTATCCTAATTGTGTAGATCGATGCTCTTGCTGTTAATCACTAGATTGTCTTGTCCAGACTCGATATTTTACAGACCGCCTATTGTTGGTTTTGCTTGTGAGAACAACTTATCACAGCTTCCAACCTGATCATTTTGTCTTTGCAATGCTTTGGCTTATAAACACAGGGTACTAACACTGATATGGCCAAAATTTGAGGCATATTTGTAGATGGGTACTGTCCAAAGTATTACGTTATTATGTATAGATCCTAATGCAGTTGTGCAGCATCCAGTGTCACTTTTGTTGCATATCAACGATCAATGACTTTATTTAAGAAATACAGTTCGCTGTACAACCATGTATAGTGTAATAAAGTACACTTTTGCCCTGAACTATTACAGTTAAGTATGAGGACGCTTAGAAGGCTAAACTAAGAGCGAAATGTGCTGCTTCAAAGGTTTCCTTAACTGTAAGTGTAAAAATATCTAAAGGTGTTCTTTTTTCCTAAAATGTGTCCACAGACTTTTCAGGAAGAGAAAATGGACATCTTTTCAAAATGTATTATGTGCAATATTGACAATAACACATCATTCCTTGTCTATAACACAGAGATGTAGTCAGCTGAAAACAATTATATTTTAGAAGAAACGTCAGTCCGTACCAAATGTCTATCAGTTATAGTTTCTGGAGTGAAGATTACAACAGGCCTAGTAGACTAACACTTAGTAGACTAACACTAACTGCTTGAAATTATTTCTTTTCCTAGTATATGACATAACAAGGTACATGCCACTGGACATGCCAGGACTCCCTTTAGAATGTGCTCGCTAAGTACCTCATGCTCTCAGTATACCCCCACATGGGTACAATGTGTTAAGCCCATTTCTGGTGTCCCCCGCCGTGATATTGCTGGAATTATTGCTAAAAGCGGCGTAAAAGTAAAACTCACTCACTCACTCTCAGTATACAATTTGTTGTTAAATATTGACCTATCTAGATGACATTTTTTCACTCATAAACATGATGAAACTAAACAGACAGTTTATGCTGTTCAACAACGAAAATATAATTTGTTGACATATATCAAAACCTTATAAGCTGCTGTTATGGGTAGAATGTGTAAAGCCCATTTCTGGTGTCCCCTGCCATGATATTGCTGGAATATTGCTAAGGGCGGCATAAACCCAACTCACTCACTGTTAATTCAGAACTTATCATGTATTACAATACCCCCTGTGTATTGGGTTACATGGCAAGATATGTTTTTGCCTAATTATGAGAATATGTCAGTTTTAGCCATGTGATTGAGTGAAAGTGCCCCTGAGGGTATCGATGAAGTATGGACATGTTATTTTACTCCATTTGGGTTATTGGTAAACCAAGCCCCTCGCTACACAAATGCTGCTCTTATTGCTAAGATCACATGTTAGCAAATGGATTGTTAGAAGAATCTCAGCTGTGATTGTATATGTGTGTTATTATTGTGCTTTTGTTGTGGTCTGATATGTGAAGATGAGTCAACTTCACGTCACTGTTCACTTGTTTGAAAGAACGGTTATTTATGGGATTAACAATTAAATGGTGCAGGAACAGATTTCCATGAGGAATGGTATTTTGTGTAGATTTTTTTATATTTTGCATGTTCAGAAATATATTTATTTTTTCATCAAACAGAATTGTTTCTTATTTCGAATGTTATGTTGATCACACGCTCATTCAGTTTCTGCACATTTTGGGTATAGAGATATTCAGAAGTTAGAATGACCTTTTCCTAACCAAGTCTTTAAGTGCAAAAATGCATGAGACACCTCCTCATGTAGACTGGTTCCAAGCCATGTAAAAACAAACAACTTTATGGATAACAACTTCTATTTTATTGAATTCATTGCTTTTCTTAAGATTTTATTATTTCTTAATCATTCACCAACTTCTAGAATGCTAACATATGTCCAACCCACACCCTCAGGCAAAGTCAGCCAACTAACCCGCTCAGCCACCGCAACTTCCACTAGAAGTCGATGCTGGCAATTAAGTGCCTGACTCTGAGGGTGTGGGTTCGAATCCTGGATGGGACTCAACCCAACAAAAAGTACTAGAATCTGTACTTTACTAAGAAAGTGTAATCCCAAATATAACATGTTACATTTGACCACTTTCTAAATGGCATTGTGTCATCATAGCTTTCGGTTCCAGAATGCTCCTGTCTTTGGTTCCTGCCTTTTTGTGTTATGTCAGTTTTCCGATGAATCTGTGGATGTCATAGGCATGTTTACTTGTAGCATGCTGAGATTAAACAGCTTACCTGCCTGTCTTGCACCTTCATAGTGAAGCATCTGTTATTGTGAATCTTTCAGAAGAACCCTAGACTATACAATGGCAAACTGACAGATTTTAAAAGTATTGAAAGATATTCAGGGAATGATATTCATAACCATGCGTACTGAGCATTTGATTTAACATACTACTCATTATTTGTTTCAGACATATTTCATTAGCCATACAGTTTGTTATTGTTTTTCCACGAATTGTATAGCAGCTGGTCACTGGGTGCCAATAGTTTGTTTTGCAACTTTACTAGATGACTATGCTTGGAAATACGTTTGTTCATCATATCAGTGACAGCTAGCAGTCACATATATGGCAAATTCTAATTCAAAGCAAAAAAAAATATAAAAAGATGTTGTCATTCTTGATTTGTGGCTGATTAAGATAACCTATTAAAACTGAGGTTAAAACAATGATGAAAAGTTAAAGTTATTTGAAGTCAACAATTTATAGTTAACTTTTTCTGTCTAATGTCAGTTTTAAAAAAGAAAATGACTCTCCCTCTTAATCCATAAAAAAAATATTTCATCTTTCATAATATATTATTTAACAGAAATAGCTTGTTCCTGTACTGGTTTGAGTGTAACTTGAAGTTGAGTTTGACATATCAGTATTATTTTTCACTTGTGTAACCTGTGTTGTGTGAATCTATGTACTTAGTCTGAGGTGAGATTGTGAAACAGAGTGAGAATACAGGCTTAGATAGTCGTGGCCAATCACAACACATTGCGTATTTGATGCGTGTGATGGTGTATATCCCTGTGGAGCCCTGTGTTAATGAGTGCACACTGTATCAGAAATTATAGTCGCGAATTGATCTGTTGGTATATGTTGCTATGATCTTTTCACAAGATACTATCTGTCCAACTGCTAGCTTAACTTTGTTGAGTGTTCACAAATGCTTCTTGATATCATGGATGAAAAGATTCATGAAGGTCATGATACACATTTAACATTAAATGACGCTGAACCGTTTTGACTGTCAATTTTTAATGGGGATCAAAATTAAAAGCTACCTGTAGAAACATGATCATAGCGGCTATTTTTGTGGTGAAGTTCAAATGGTAATTACAACACATTTCAATACTGGACTGTCAAAAATGGCTTTAGGATCATTAAAAGAGTAGCAAGTGGTTATTTTAGAAAGTGTATCATCTTGTATTGATACAGAATAAAAATACAGCATATATTGTGTCAACACAAGAAAACTAATTGTGCACCAGTGCATTGATGTATCAGTTCACATCTACGAGGTACCATTGAAGGTCTATATTCAGCTGTGTTGTTCAGGGCTCGAGAGTTTGAAGTTGCATCCGTGATCCTTGATCAATAGCTTGTATTCCATAGTTATCCAGATTGAACCAGCCCCATACATGTGTCTGATAAAACATCAAGGAGCTGCATCACTTTAGGTCCGGTAGAAGCATTAAACCCAACTCCCTCACTCATTCAGGCATCATGGGGATTGTGGGATATTCACAGATAGGAAATAGATGGATGGATTACTTGGTTGTTTGGTACAGCATTATCATTATTACAGCTAACAAAAACACTCACTGCTATTGTATAGACTTATGGTGGACCTGGAAGATATTTTTCTGAAATCAAAATTAGAATGTTGAACATCCCTGCCAGATGCAAAACTCAAGGTTGCTTATACATTCTTGACTGTCAATAATATTTAGCGTTGCTTGTTACTGAAATATTTCCACTTTGCCAAAAATCAAATTATTCACAATCTGCATTTATTCTTTTTGAAATCAATGGTGCTTTCTTTCTCATTTTGCCTGTGATATTTGCTAAATATGCAGGCACATCTCTTCAGTTAATCAGAACACCAGGTTTGTGGTCCACTAAAATAACTATGTTGCATGTACATAAAATGAGCAGCTTATTATACATTCAAGTCTGTATGTATGCTGAGAGGCCTAGGCTCGGTCAAACTACAACTTCCATATGGGATGATGAGGTATGAAAACCTCTTTGGGCCATCTCCCATGCCACAGGAAGGTGTATGTGGTGGCTTAGCCTTGTAGTTCTGTCCACAGGGCTAAGATAAGGTTTTGATTCCCCATGTGTGATGCAGATTTATGTTGTTGTACTGATATTGCTAGAATATTTCAGAAAACCAATCTCACCCATGCACTCACTCACTCTTCCATATTGTAAGTCATCAGTTTGATGTATGGTGGATTACGGGAATATGATTATCATATATAGAGGTACTCCCTCAATTAAACAGAGCCAGGAGACAGAACCGTCATTAAAGGGAATGAATACTGGAGCCACAGGAATACCACAGATACTCTTGTATCTTTCATTATTCCTTGAAGGTTGTGGTAGAACTAAGACTTTTTGTTGATCTGAGCACTGGTAAGTTTGAATGTTTAGTCATGCGAAGGGAGATAACTCCAGTTGTTTGATCGGAGATGTGTGTTGTGTGATAATTGAGGTCATGGTACTGGTATGCTGATAATAAAGACAATGAAAAGTAAATGTGTTTTGTATTTTTCCCAACTGTTAATGACGTTTAGAAACTGTGAACTAAACGGTCAGAGGCTCGTATGGAATGACAACACACCCCTATATTTGTAGGAATTTTGACCGTTTTGTCCTTAACTGCCCAAAAAGGTCCTCGATGGCTACAATGCCTAATCAAAATGGGTTCGGCTGGAGTCTGGTTGTTTTTCATGTTGAGAACAGACTGAAGTCTAACGTAGATAGATCATGAAATAAGGCGGCGTCGAAAAAGCCACAGTCCTGATGGAAGAGCACAATTTTCATAGCAAAGATACATAGCGTTCTCTAACATGAACGCAATGTATCTTAGCTATCTAAGACACAGAGGTAAAACCATTCAAGCTGCTGCGCTGGCGCTTCAGACCTCGGGAACCAGGCGAGTGACATCCCTTCCGGTGTCCCGACTCGGGATCATTTCACACTCATGCCGTATTGTCATCATCTTGGAGAGATGTCGGTTGGTACTGTGTGTAGGTGTGGTTATAGAGTCTGGATAACACGCAGTAATGGTTTTTACCTCGACATGACAGCGGAACTGTTCCGTTTGGTGGATTTTCTGTCATGACATGTGCACTCACGATTAACACTTATCATGTGATGCCTCATTATGTTAAGCAAACATTTGCATTACCCGTACCAACCGAGCTCCGTCTGAATAACTGTTGAAAATTAATGAATTTAATTCCTTGGACAGTACATCAACCTAGAATTGGTCTGCACTATAGGTTCCACTCGTGTACGGTATACAATCTGGGTAAATTCGGAAACAAAATAACCGAATATGAGAGCAACGAAAACATTAATTCTGAAAGTGACCGTGGTAAAATACACTGTTAGATTAATGAAAGGATTTTGAGAACAAAACACAGAAGAGTGTGACATCGGATGGAATCGTAAACCCGAGACCACGTAAAGACCCGAGTCAGACTTAATCTTCAGCAACCCAAACTTTCGGGGCGATTAATGGGAACGGGTGGTCTGGCTTGCTGACATGGCTGATGTATAAACGTACATGTATTACAGTTCTGCAGGTTGATTTTCATTTAGTCATTTATCTCGTACTCCAATACATTCAGACTGAGTCCAGCTTGAATATTGCGGAGTGCAGCGGACATAACTGAACTCGTTTGATCATGCACTGAGTAGAAAACCGTTCTAGTGGCATATCTGTCGAGAAACCCGAAAGTTTTCAATATTCAGCGAAAAGGTTCGGTCAGTTTAGATCGCAAATATCCACTGCCTAAACCAATTCCATTCGTGAAAAAAATACAAAATATAAAATTGTACGAATTGATTTATTAATAAAATATAAACTTTGAATGTGTAAATTCATCGTACCCATATATATTTGCATCTTACTTGCATAATGCAAGCGATGAAAAGCTTTTCGAATCATTTTACGTGACTATACTTTGGTTTGAACAGGACATGAAACAAAAAGGACTGAGAAATAGCATGAAAGAATAGGCATGTGATATACAACTATACTACACGTTAGCACATTAATGCAGAAGGTGTCTGGACCAATCACAAGTCAGACATTTGAAATCCCAATCACATTAGGGTATATCTACTGTTTTTCTCACTTGGCACAGGAGGGTACTAGATGTTGTATAAATAAAATAAATATGAAAATATTCTCTGTACAGGCACTTAGGTGTCACTGATGAACCCTAGCTGCTGACGTAAGCATTTTCCATTGAATCAGTGACCATGGTAATGGTAATACTGGGGTCAACTTGGGGAATAAATAAGCAGATGTGGGTTCATCAGTATCTGTATCACATGTATAGCCATGGGAGGCTGGATGGAGGGGGCAGCCATGATGGCTGGAGAGGTTCCTGGAACCTGCATCTCTCCGGTGATGCTATGTGTGCTTCAGGAATAATGAGATCTTTGAGAAATCACTGGACCATCGCGGAATGTTCATTAGCAACCATTCCTTTGCTTATTCTGGGACACCTCATATTCTTGTCGGGAGGTCCCTGTTTTAAAGGACATAAAGCTACATCTTTATGACTGAGCTTGGCATTACAGAAGCTCAGTGGAACAATGTTTCTACGGGTGTCGACCCTGTTTGAGCTTGTGTCCTTGAAACACAAGGACCACGTTTGAGCTAGTGCCCTTGAAACACTGGGACCACTTTGGAGCCTGTGTCCTTGACACTGCGGAACACGTTTGAGCATGCGCCCTTGAATCACTGCGGACAACTTTGGAGCCAGTGTCCTTGGTACACCGCGTAACCCCAACACTTCGGACCAATGGGAGGCCCCATGTACTTAAACCCTTGCGACGTTCTGGAGTTTCAGGCGATCCCGATGCTGATGATGAGGGTCACGAGAGTCAGGAATGTAAGATGAGGATGTCGTCTGTCCACAGATGACGCGATGCTAGTGTCGTCTGCCCAGCTGTTTTCCAAGTAGACCTCACTCTCATCTAGACTGAAGATCTTCACTATGTTCGAGGGGTCCTCTGGCTTGTAACCCTTCCTGGATATTTTCTCAGCTGAAGACGAAAAATGTTAATGCATTACCATAGTTTTAGCAGAGATTGTTATGATTAGGGACAGGTTTTCATCATTTTACCTGGCATGTATTGTTCTTACAGAGAAAAATACGTGGTTTTTCAATGATGTAAACAGGGCGTGGAATAATGTCGTAATTAAGTCCTCCTTTTTCCTGTATTGAAGAAACATTTGCGTGATGGTGAAGGTATCAGGGGCACATTAAGAAAACTTACAGCACTTCCCGTAGGCTCCGTCCATGCAGATGGACTTTCCCCGGTAGCAGCGACAGAGGCTGCAGTCAGACCGGAACCACTGCCCATGTTGGACCGGGCCGCACCAGCTTCGCTTCACTTCATACTGACAGTACCGTCCGTAAAACTCTCTGAAACAACGATCGGAACTGTTTACATTTTGTACCCAAGGGACCTTAATCTAACCTCCTAACTAGCTGTGACTGGAGCATCCATTAAATAAACGACCACTATTTACTATTTCTTTTCTTTCTTTATATTTAATTTATTTTCTTGATATATTATACTACTCAATATATAATCAGACCTATTGTATTTCAATAAACACTTGACATGTTTTAAGAATCAAGTTTGCATACCAAAGTAGGAAGTCCAACTATTTCGAAAGACAAAATCATATTTTAAATGTATCACGCATTTCAGCTTACTTTTTACATTGACAGAAGCTTCCAAGGACGCACAATCCGTTATTCTTACAGCAGTCTTTGAGATACTTCTCTGGTGATTGGTTCTCTGCAAAAAGGAGCATATGTTTTAACACACAATAATAAGCCACTGATAAGCTGAAACTGTCCGACAATGTCCGCGATAATGCACATTCCTTTAAATGATTAACCTTTCTATTTTGCTCAGTAAAGAAATGATCAGTAGCCATTTGTAAGCGAACAATGAGCAATGACGGGTCTTAAATTTCTCGCGCGCCTTTATTAAACCCTAAGTACACTCCTTTAAGATTAAATGGAACAGATAGCCACAATTTAGTATTATCAAACACCGTTTTCATCAACACGGCAACGACGACAATAGCGGTAGCGATTAATGTATGCCTATTTACAATAGCTTACGGAAACGCCCGAGGGCATCCGAGTAGGGGTCAAGGTAACTGTGAAGGTTGGGCACAGGAAGGAATGGCGTCAGTCGGGGTCCTAATTGCAATTAGGGTACCTGGGTTGGTTTGATCAGGAGCGTAATCTCCTTCACTGATGTGAATTGCTAGGTTACTTGGGTCGTAATATTCCACAGTTGCCCTTGATGGCTATAAGGGGCATACTTTCAAGGACGTTGAATAACGTTGGTGGGTGATTGGTATTCGCCATCTCGCTATGTGACCGTTACCGGCAGTATATAGCGCATGGTTGTAATGTAATGGCTATATACCATATGTATGAGGAAACCTACTGAGCAAATATATAACCCATTAGGTTTATGTAACAGCTCTTGAAGCAGATCGGCGGTGCGTCTTGAAGGTAATTCTTGAAGCAGATCGGCGGTTTACAATTGTATCTTGAAAGGCATCTTCAAAAGACATGGGTCATCGCAAACTTGTACACCGGGCAGCAGTGTAAATCGTAATGCCTTTCTTAAGATGGTTTAAGGGTGGAGCTACTCAACATTTCTTATATAAGCTAGCGTTTATGCTACTTTCAAATCCTAACAACTGTGATCAAACCATGAACAAACTAACAAAATATTTGATAAAAGGAACGTCTGAATTAACATGATGCTGTGAAAACCCGTAAGCGTTTTTTTAAAAACAAAATCACCAAAGATCATATTATCCCACCCCATTCGTATCTTTAAACTTAGCCCCTTTCAGATCTATGAAAATGACGTAAGGGTTTGTAAATGCTGGAGGGGTAGCCTAGTGTTTAAAGCGTTCGTCCGTCTCGCCGAAGACCCGGGTTCGATTCCCCACATGGGTACAATGAATGTAGCCCATTTCTGGTGTCCCCCGCCGTGATACTAGAGGGTCAAACATAACTCGAACAAGAACATCCGTTCTTTAAAAAGTAAACAATTATTGTTATTCATATATTTTTCGTGCCCAACCTATTTCGCGAAGGGTGTTAGTGTTGTTATAGAAGCTGGATCAGTACATGCTTCATTGTCCTCTATTCAACATTACAAGCCCCGATCATCCTTACAGCATAAACCTTAGGTCAACCATGAGTCGAAATCGCCACAACGCTACAAACATGTACATGTACACATATCTGTAAGATCGCTGAACCAACACACAAATTCATTACCTCATCAAAAGCTTTTAAAGGAATAAAAACAGAGATAAGAAATCCCTGCACAAACGTGCTTGCCTTTGACTCCCCTGAGTGCAGTTCATTATCGGAGTGGGGAAATTGCAAACATGCCGCAGAATTACAGATGTGAGACTGGTAGGGGTTTGTGGGTAATCGTTAAGCATCCTTCATCCGAGCACTGTATCAGTTCAAACACCCCGGCTTGCCCTCTGCAAGATTGTCTTATCTTAACTGATCACGCGCCAGTGATGAAAGTTAGCTAACACGCGGTTTAGCTTCCAGGATGCTACCTGTGATGCTACGATTGAGAAAACCAATTAAACCACGCAGCAGCTTTGTATACCTAACCACGCATCATAGTTCAACCCCTTGCTTGTGTCAGGATTCGCCGATGTGTTAGCTTTGGGTCTTCCTGGAACATTAACCTTATGATGACTCAAAATACTGTTGGGGAGGCGGGGTAGCCCAGTGGTTAAAGCGTTCGCTAACGTCACGCCGAAGAGCCGGCTACAATCTGTGAAGCCTATTTCTAGTGCTGTGCTGGATTATTGCTAAAAGGGGCGTAAAACCTCACTCACTCAAGATATTGTTAAATTAAGGCATCTCTTCTTGATTGCTTACCTGCTTTGTAACCGAAGCTGAAGCGCTTGTTTCTTGTATTTGAATTTATTATATTCTTTAACCATCGTGGTGAGTCTGAAAAAAAGAAGAAATATATTGTTTTAATTAGTTCAGCACAATGGTACGTTCTTCAAGATGCCTGATGTCATTAGCATGATAGTGAGTCTCCTCTAGCGTGTCTTTGCATGCTGCCTCTGATAGACGTTACTGGTAAAGTTTAATAAACACGAAACGACATCAATAAATCTACAGGGTTATCAGTCCATATATCAAGAATAAATACAGGCATGAGGAGACATGGTTTGACAGCATTGCCTCCTGACTGACAAGTGACAAGAAGATGGCGCCAATATGTACACCGCAGACTCGCAAATTGCCCTCTCCACCTTAGCAACCACCGGTCATATTTACAAGACTTTTATCATTTACGATCTTTCCGAGACTATATCCATCTAATATATCTCTCAAGAAGATAGTTATTTATATTTCGCACACAAATTCATTTAGCAACGAGATGGTATCACTGGTATCTTTCTGGTTGCGCGATCCGGCTTTTAGTAGCCTCGTTATCGCATCTCCTACATCCGGACAACCACTGGGCTCAAACAATCAGAGCAGCGTCTTAAAGGATTAACCTCACAACAGAATGAGCGTTAAAGCCGTAACCTTGTGATCCAAGTTAATCCTTTAACGGGCGTGCGGAGATTAATTGGAATCTCAGGCTACGAGAGTATCGTCCGTCAATGGCGTCGAACAATTAGCGTCCTTAGTACAACTCTTCTTTCTCAGCAGAACTGCTAGATGGTTGTGTGGAAAGAAAGATTTGGCATCGACTTTAAGATTTAAGCCTCTTGTAGTACCTCTTAATGCACCTTTAATCGTAGCCTTTCTTCTTCTTTTTGAAAGTCAGTGTTAAATGGTGTTAACAGGTGTCGTAAATACGGTTTTTCGTCGTGCCCTTTAGTGCCAACAAGTGGTTTATCTGGTCCAAACAATACGGAATAGATACAAGTATAGCTACAGAAGAGCCGTTGGTGGCATTAAATGTTACTGTTGTACCATCTTCTGTCCACTCGAAATAAACCTGAAAGATGTGGCTCATTTGTTACAGATTAGAACCCAGGCTCTAGAACCTAACCTAGTCCACATGGTAACTCATCAAAAGCATGTAACGCAGACTGCACATATAAGAATAGGGCTTTGGAGCGACGAGACATTTACGTTATCGTATCTACTTTGAAATGCTTTAGAGGAAACAGAATAATTCAAAGAAAATAAATTAACATCGCCGTTTGATTAAGGTTGTGAGAATTGGTCACAGATATTGTTTACTTTCAGTATGGAAAGGCATGTACACTTTCACGGCAGTTTCACATGACCTGCGACCTTAAGTTAAATATTAGTCACAGGGACAGTAGAATGTGGGATATTCACGAATGTAAATAAACAAAGAGCTTTCCATCGACAACCATAACAAACAGCCTGATAGAGAGGAACCTCTACTGCGCCATCTGACACGGGGTTCTCTCCCGTGACCTCGGTCAGCGAGGTCAGGTATACTGACCGTGGTCATGATATGAATACCGTGTATAGGATGTCAGTCCAAGCCTACAATTTACCTACATGTCATGGGGCTGGACATTGCTTTCTCGGACAATGCATACTGGTGTTCATTTATCAAACAGCGATAGGACTGACGTCCATGGTTGATATACGTTAATATTAGGTTTCCGCGTCACTGGAGATATGTACCCGTTCCGAGTGATTGATTTGGTATCAGTTTGATCTGGGGAGGTTATATTTGGGAAAATTATCAAGTGCTTGGACAGGTTTATGAATACACGCTCGACAGCGGATGTTGCAAAATCACCATCAGACTGTCAGACTTCCACCTCTTCTCGGTGTTAGTTCCCTGCTGGCTTGTTCCCAGAGAAGCGATAATGGTATGGCTGGACATGCTTCTCCTCTTCCCCAACACCTGGTGTCATCACTTTATTTTCATTTATCAGTTCCTATTAATTTCACAACTATTTTACCCTTTACGCCAAACGGAATTTCTTTCTGAGTATAGTCAAGACTGTTTATTCTTTTGCACTGGCATTTTAATTTGTTTGAACTTTACGTAGATCGGAATAAACACTGTCTAACCAGTCAAGTTTTAATTAATCCGAAATTTAATCAAAATTAGCCCCATGTTCCTAACGGTTCCTAAATTATATAATAAAATATAATGAAAAAGAGCCCAGAGACTTTCTTCATTTTCAGAAACTGTGGTGAATCTACACTTCCCATATATTCTAGAGTACCAGTTTCAAATGTACAGCATTATCACAGCCCTCAACAGTATCTCATGTAATCTTAATGTATGCTGATATATCTATGTCGATATGACATGCAGTGCCCCTTGCATGAAGTCTTGTGTTATTGCCCATTACACGGTGTGGAATATAACGTATAGCACATGTCACGCTCCGCATCTGCCATCTTTATTGCTATACCGAATATTCTGTAGGAACAGGTAGTATATGTGAACATTTAGTCCCAGAAATATAGTTAACGTATTTAAAACATTAAAACATTATATATCCATCTAAAATAACAAATGGCGCCCAGAACAATTTCCTAAAGCTGACCGACCATAGGAAGTGGCCGCCTCGCTTAATTTTCACCCAGCTGTTGTTGCCATGTATATGATGGCACACCTTTAAGAGAGAAAAACGCACTTTGAACAATCTAAGTTCAAAGGAAAATCTACTTCCTATATGCATCACCTACAAGTGTGCCTTCACTAAAGGTATTTTGGTCCACTTCATCGTGGTAGAGTTCAACGAGAAATTCAGTGCAAAACGATCTAGCGTACATAAATCATGTCCTCCCAGCTGGCGGCGGATGACATCGCCCTCGTTTGAGGTACTCGTGAATGGACGTTTATGACCACTGACTAGCTGGGGAGGTTCATGCTGCAGGGTTGGAGTGACCACTTGGTTTAATGTGAAACATATGCCCTGTTAAGGGTTCGTGCAACAAGCTGAATACGATTTATTATTGTTCTAAATGATTTGAAGATTCGGTTCTGGATGGCAGCTAGAGTTGACAAATGGATTCGGCACATATACTGGTACCTTTATTTAGCATGACATCAACAGGTCCAAGCATTTGTAGGACTGATATAAGACCTTGGGAGTTCATTGGATTATACAACTTCGAGAAATATAGTAAAATAATAATACACTTTAAAAGTTGAGATACATTTGTTTTGACAACTACTAACGAAGTCCGTAGTAAAGACTAACGATTAGTCTCTGGATATATATCAGTTTGTTAATAAACAATTCATTAAAACCTTTCTAATTGAAAGGTCAATAAGGAGGGTAATCCAGAGGAGCCTGAACCTGATTTAATCTTGCTACTTAAACTTGATACTTTTTTAAGGCTTTAGCATTGCAGAAAAGGATGGGCCCAATGGAAAATAATGCAGTCCAGGTACTGAAACTGACTACTGGGAGTATTTGGGTAAAGGGTATGGCGCCGTAAGTTGTTTACTATATACTCAGTTACTGAAAGTAGTTCTGAACGTCATCGAATCTCTACATTTCACATGTAATTAAACCTCCGTTAATTTGCTTGTTTTACCTTACTTCGCAGTACATGTTCAGACCCCTTAACGTTCGCATCGCTCTGCGTCACGTTTACGTGAAAGCACCTGCTTCTTTCATTAGCACAGCATTGTGATAAGTATGTAACCTTTATATGATAATCACGAAACAATTAACACGATTCCGGTGTTTACCAAGTCGCACAAACACTGATAAGACAGTAATGGAATGAACTCTATGGCTAGGGGTCACTGTACTCTGAGCTTGGAGGTATATGTGAGAAGTACGCTATCGACATTGGGCTGCAGCTACTGTTTACTAAACCTACGCCTGTTTTCATGCAGTGATTACAAACACCGAAAAAAATCCCTGACTCGTAAACACTGACTTGTACGTCAGAGTCAGAGATCCGATATTTAGTGTTTCTTTACCGCGGTTGGATCTGCCGCAGCTTTAAGCAACGTACAACCGCGGTCCATCGACTGAAGTATTCAGGGATGTTTCTGATTAACGTTAGGTTACCATATCGTTTTAACTAAACAAAGAACCAGTTAAATAGAGACACTCTAAAGAAATTCATTTACTTCGAAGCAATTAATCTTCATTTCACTTTTTGACCAGGAATTACGATGAATGTGTTGCTTAACTACACCTCTTAAGACATGGGCAAGTAAAACCAACAAATGATTTTAATCAAATCTTATTCAAGACCTGGATCCCGTTGATAACATAGCCTTACGATAATCGTCCTGCTAAGATCACTGCATTACGAGCGAAGCCTTGGACAACAAATGTTAATGAAAAGCCTGTTACCATTTTCCATGCCCAACATGTATACACCATATGTTTACAATGATGCCTGCAATTCTTCAAACGGCTTCACCATATTAAGCACGGCGTCCCTGACATATTTGCAGTGACAGTTGCAACTACAACATCTGCAGCTGTTGCCGGTCACTCGCAGCTTCATGCGAACATAACCCCTTGACCAGATGGGAGGACCCGGGGATGTTCGGATAAATGGACAGTGGCCTGTTACAGATAGCGCAATACTCCGACCCCGGTTCCCGCTGGTAACAGGCACTATAAACTTTCCCGTGGGCCACAGGGATCAATTAGAACTACGTTTATCACGCATTGCGATGCTCTCGTGCTTGGTTCCGACTTCAAGACCGCGGGGAACTTCAAACGCTGTGTGGGGACATAATGCTGGGGATGATGGTACCTTGGGGTATTTTAACATAATAATTGGGGACAAATGTTTTTATTATCAGATAATTAAAAGCACGAGCTGTGATTGTATCTGATATTGTGTAGCTGGGCTTGTGATAGGTGTTTATGTAAGATACTCGAAGATCATAGACTGCATTCTTTGACCAAATCGTTGACGCTTGGGGCCATATGCATTTGACTTGGGTTGTGTAAAACACTTGAAAGTTGGATTTAATATAATAAATATAAACGTTTTCGAAACGTTATTAGGTAAACTGGCTTAGTCTCTGAATATATATAATTTGGATAGTAACAAACAAGCCAATTTATATTGAAAAGGGAGACCAGAGATTCAGAGGAAATCTAGACTTGCTTTATTTAGGGATTAAGCACCGCAGAGAGGGCTTGGCAGTAGGGAAAAGAATGTGGTTCAGGGACTGTGAGACAGACTAGTTATTAGTTTAAAACCACAGTTGCCGAAACACTGCCAACAAAAATTCGAAGGCATATATCTGATACCCGTAATACTACATCATGGACTGATCACGTCATGTTTGTTTACATTGGTGTATGCTTTCTTACGCCCGGAGATTTAGATGTTATGTAGCCTCGCGGGTCTCGATATAACGTCAGTGATCGCTAAGTAACCTAAACCTGACCTCAGTCTTAACTGCTTTTTCTACGTTGTATTGATGTGTACAAATGCTCCACTTCTTATGATCGGGGCATTTAAATCTAGAATGTCCATCTCATCTTACCTATGAAACACCAACTAGGACCAAACGCCAACTAATATAATTCTAAAACTATAAAACTACATCCACTCAGTTCGCTTTGATGTTGCCTTGCGTTCAATCAGATATGCATTGTTAAACTTAATACCCTGTTAAAACGCCAAGTTCTTGACCCGGGCAGCTATTCTTTCAAAGTAATCAAAATTCTTCGCGCGTTATAACGAGGCAAAGAGATAGCTGCTACCCTTCTCAATATGGATGGACATCCATCAAAACCAAGATAACACGTCAGATTGACAGGCGATAAAACCCAAGATAACGACTCTCGCCTTGTTTACAACAGCCCGCGTTTCCTCGTCTCAATAACGATACGCCTACCTAGAGGGTGAGTGGTTCACGCTTGCACATGCACGTAATGTCGGATGAAGATGCTCCATTGTCCGTGAACTGGAATTAACGCGCTGCTTCTACCTACATCAGGGTCGGTTTGACCTACACGATGGGCCCTGGGAGAGTTCACGGATAATAAACTCTCTTTGAGGTCATGAGTGAAGTAACAGAAGTTAGACTTGTAACAGTAGCTTGGTACTATAATGTATACCACATACTACGTTCAGCTTCTCCGAAGCAGGTAAATAACATTTACAAGTGTGTTTTTACTTACATCCGTCCAGAATGCCCTGCACTGATCTATACGTATTTCGTGAAAGTAAATAAAAAACACACACTTTAACCTGCTGTATTCCACAGATCAAGGGTTCGGGGATTTTAGGAGAAGAATTTGATACCTATTATAAGTTTCATAGGCTATGCCATATACCGCCTATTTAGATAAAAAAATATATTCTACCAAACTTTTTAGAGAACAGTATTTCATTCATCAAGGGTCCACACAAGCACAATATGTAATTCCTGGCTAAAGAGTATTACATGTATGTAAGGTCGAGTTTAATTCTATGGTTCAGTTATTTACTAAATATGTGAGTATATTGTATTAAATATGCAAAGGTGTAACTGTCAACGTGTTATGTTTTGTAGCCTAAGCTTTGTTATTCTGACAAATCTTCAACCGTTAAAACCTGTTGTTCTGCCTGTGGTGTCCGTAAACTATTTACTTAATGTAAATATATTTTAACACAAACGGGTCTAGTAAAATAACATGTGTTGCCATGTTGACTCTCATCAGTTCACTCTTACATAAATTTAATTTAAGATTTTTCCTAAGATTGTTCTCAGTGTATGCCGGGGGGACAGTGTTAAACTGACTACTTGTACAAATAGCCCCTCTAGGAGAACGCACCTGTTACTGACGACAGAGCCGGATTAAATGGAATGAAATTTATCTGATTTTGAGTCAGAGGCATATATAAGTGTCAATCGTAATGAAGACACCCTCAGGGCGTGAGGACAATGTGTTGGACCGGACCCTGCCCAGTGTCAGTGGTCGGCGACAAAACGGCTAGTCACTCGAGGAGTTTAGGTCTGACGGGCACCTGCTGACCAGCGCTAATGACATGTTTTCTTACAGAGTTTTCTGTTAAAGCAATAAAAGGTGGTGTTACGTTAAAAGCTGGAATTAATATTATTAATAATCTGCGAATGCGATAATGGATATTTATCTGGTGTGCAGTTAAGCTGTTTATATTACCAATGGTCTGATCCTTAGATCGTGGGCTATAATACAATGTTGGTTCATAATGCCTGGTAATCATTCCAATTCCCCAAGTAAATCTGCTATTACCAGCGAACACACACATACTGCTTATACGAACAGATCCAGTCTTACACTGGGACCAATTCAACCAGGGTTTGAGCTACGACTATCGTAAGTCCAAGTCCGTCTTGGATGTGAAAATTCGTCATTTCATGGCTGGAGTTGGAAGAAACCATACCTGGTATATCATTTTAACCAAATTAATGCATTTTGAAACAATGGTAATCTGTATGTCATCGTCAGTCCGAAATTACGTTCAAAATGAGATCGTTCGTGACCTCCACCGTTAGCTGTGTCTGACAAAAAGCTTTATTACATATTCTTTGCATAACAACTTCCGCCTATTCACCCCGACCATTACGTTGGCACATGTCAATACACGGTAGTTGGATGGAGGACAAGAACCTTGGCTGGTCCTCATCAAAATCCACGACCCTTATAATCCTGTGTAATTAGGGCCCACAGTGGGTATAATATTGATACGTGAGATCCCCCTCCACCATAAACCCTCTATGTGGTATCATTATCACAGGTTCCCGAAAGGTGAAGGTTACGTCATAACGTCCCTAGTGTATAGCTATCGGGAATGCTGTAAGGACCTTACAATACATTATACTTTAACGTAACGCTGTATCATGGGAAGTACCAGTTGGCGATGTACCTCCTGAAAAGAATGCGTTATTTCCATGGCAACGATTAAACGCAACGCAGTTACCCCTGGGTGACGCTGGCATATAGGTGTTGTGATGTTATTTTGGCCGAAAGATCGTCGCGTTGTTCAATATAAGATTATAATTAAGTTTTCCTTTCATAAATAAAAATACGACAAAACATGCTGTATAGGTAAAAAAAACATTACTCACCATGTGACATTGTTTCTGATAAGTACGTAATCCAGATCAGAAAGGTGCAGAGGTATCTGAAAAACATCATTCCCTTTTATAGAAGTTGCATGTATGGTAAAACAATACCCAGGAAATATACGACAATTTCTATTCAAGCTGCACTCCGTCTCAGCCTTGAGGTCTGTCCTGTCCGATTTTGTATGATGACAAGAGCATGACATGTGACAGATTGCAGTCACACGTGAGTTACTCTTTGATGTCTACACAAATAATAACAACAAATTCATACTGCCCTATTCCTGACCTCTGTATGAAGTATGTGAGAAAATATTAATATGAAATGCGCCCACTGTTAGTTAAATACACAAGACTGTTGAACTGTCACAAATATATACAGTGTTTATGTGCATTATCTTTAGTTCCAGTTGGTCTGTACATACTGCGGTAATTAACATTATTGTCTAGTTTGATAACATTTATTATAAATATAGACAGTATATATGAATTTCAGTAATTACATTTGTCATGACCGAAAGAGTTCGTTTAATATACATAGAAAACGTACCTCCATTAATTTGCCTATCAGCTGATGCTAATACGTTTTCAGTCATGTGGCCAAAACAAAGTTGAAATAAACAACTTAAAGAAGAGCATCATTTGCTTACCTGACAGTTGTGTATAAATCCATTTATATTTCCGTATATCCCAGTGAATTGTAACTGTATCCCCTCTCAACGTTTCCCCACGCACTGACTCCATCCAAATCCCTCCAATGTTTGTAAGCTTATATTTCCCACGTGTTGCAACACCGATTTAGCCCATTCCCAGGGGGCAGGACTTCTTGATTGACATGGTCACGTGCCGCGATCAACCAATGAGCTGTGCGAATCGTATTCCGCTGGGCCCAGTTGTCATCACTGCACAATGAGCCTGTTTTTACTCGCCGTTGCGCACCATTTAAGTTGAAAGATTGGGATTAGGAATTAAATCAAATTACCGGGCGTTTTCAGTTGTTACGCTACTGTGCCGCGTCACTGACTCTCACGTGTGAAAAGTGTGAAAGAAAGAACAATAAGAAATTGGTCCAATCGTCAGTGTATTTTTGACATGTAGGTTTTACTTACGGGATGAATGGCTGCGGTTAATTGTTATGAACGTAGGTGTGAATATCAAAGGCGGCGTTGTCGGATGTTTGGTTATGAGTGAGCAGAGGTTCCCGTCTTTTTGTCGTCAATGTTAATATTTACTCGCTTCGTCTTACACCTTGTATACCTGTGTGATGGCGGAAATTAGCAAAACGTGTTACCAACTTCAAAGATACCTTCCGACGACTCCGATATCAATATTTGTTTTAATTAAGTTTCACATACACAAGTTCATTAAGTTGTATGTGTCACTCTCAGGAGTAAATATTTTATGTCTCCGAAAGATACCTATCTGTGTTCGTGATGAAACAGATTTACCTAAGAGGATGAGATGGTTGAATCAAAATTAACGATGACAAAACATTTACTTCAAACCTGTAACCTGACGAGTTTTATCTGTTTAGGCTATAGGACATGCATACATTAATGTGTATTTAGGAAAGTAGGTTATTGAATCTCGCCCGACACAGATAAGGTGTTATATATAGGTTGTTTTACCCTATAAATGTAATTTTGTACTGCTTTTTATTTTTAAAACCCAACATCTTGGCTTGTTGCGACTAAATTATAATGATGAACATATCGCACACATCTTTTAGAACATGCATACATACACAAAATCTGAATATAAATTTCAGGAAATATAACGTGTTATGTCTCCAGCGTTGTAATGTTTGACGCTTGTGACGGCTGTGGTAAAATCCAATAGCCATCAGAGACATTAGGTTCAGAGACATTAATGTAGTGCTATTGATGTTAATATTATAATGACCTGTTGAATAAATATATTATCAATACTGACTTTTTTGAGTTTATGACTTTTTTCCTATTTTTCTACCCAAATCTATTACTTTTTTCCAACTTTTTTCCTACAACCTTCTCACGAGCGGAGTGAGTGCGTTTAGTTTTACGCCACACTCAGCAATATTCAAGCTATATGTCGGCGGTCTGTAAATAATCGAGTCTGGATCAGACAATCCAGTGATCAACAGTATGAGCATCGATCTACGCAAGTGGGATACGATGACGTGTCAACCAAGCGAACGACCCGATCCCGTTAGTCTCCTTGGGCGTCAAGCCCATTGGGTTACTAAAGATGTCAATTTTAATCCAGATCTCCACAGTAGTATAAGTATAAGTATAAAATAAAAATCAGAAGTATGAAATCAGTAAGCTGTTTATAAGAATAATTATACAAATACTTTATGATACTTTGCCTAATCTGTTGTTGGTTTTTTTAAAATCAACTATTACATATGTACGTATATATTACATATAAAATTATACGTACATATCTACGTAGGCATATAGACACATACAGAGAAAATATATTAGTTAAATTAGAGCTATTATTATTTTGTATGCATCCAAATGGTAATATTTCACTCTATTGTCACATAATACAACGGATATGGGCGCTATTTTAGAATAAATATCAAGTGTACATTTAATCTCATGAGAGATCTTTTTAAATAAAACACCCAAAATTGAGAATACTTTTCTAACAGTTCAGTAATTCCAGACAAGTTTGATAAACACTATCAGCATAATATATACGTCAATCTAAGCGTCTGTATCGCCAACGAAAAATCAAAACAAACATGTCAGTTTATGGGTCGCCAGTGACGGCAGTTTTATGACTTGTTTGCCTAGACAAGTGTCTGTTCCGGTCACCCACGTCCAGAAACAAACATGGCGTTGGGTCCTGTTCCGGAAGACGATGCTCGTGCTGTGTGGAATTATAATGTTTGTTGCTTCTCAATTTGCCAATTTATTCCTAACAGCTGAATGGGTTTAGGCTCACACTGATGTTCTGTGCTATTTGTTGATTTTGACACTGATACCATTGGGCAATATAACTCAAGTGGCTCTTTCTGACCATGATAGTTTCAGATATATCCACACTCCCGCCATTATACTCCTGTCAAGATTACATAAACAATGTCTGGACCTGTCTGTTTGGAAGATTAAACTATAACGATTTTTGTTGCTATTTCGTTGTTGTTTTTAAGACTGCGTGAGTGAGTGGTTCCGACTTAACGCTGCTTTGAATGGTATTTCTGTTATATGACAGCGTGTCAGCTCCAGAGACGTTTTGTAACCCGGATCGATGCAGACCGTAGATGTTTACCACTTTTGAGGATGACGAGAAATAACACATGATACTGAATGGCCATAGATCATTATCGGGACCATCTTTGGGTACGAACCTGTGATCAGCGGGCTAATGCCCTCCCCAGCTAGCAATTTCACGTTCTCACAACGTTGTGCCATGACATTACCAATCTACAACCTTCCCACAACGTTGTTGTGCCATGACGTTGTGTAATTACCAATCTACAACCTTCCCACAACGTTGTGCCATGACGTTACCAATCTACAACCTTCCAAAACGTTGTGCCTCACAACGTTGTGTAATCTACAACCTTCCCAACGTTGTGCCATGTGTTACCAATCTACAACCTTCCCACAACGTTGTGCAATCATGACGTTACCAATCTACAACCTTCCCACAACGTTGTGCCATGCCTACAACCTTGACGTTACCAATCTACAACCTTCCCAACAACGTTGTGCAATCTACAACCTTCCCACAACGGTGTGCAATCTACAACCTTCCCACAACGTTGTGCAATCTACAACCTTCCCACAACGTTGTGCCATGACGTTACCAATCTACAACCTTCCCACAACGTTGTGCCATGACGTTACCAATCTACAACCTTCCCACAACGTTGTGCCATGACGTTACCAATCTACAACCTTCGTTGCGAAAACGTTGCGTGTTAGCTGGATCAGGTTCATATCACCGAGACTCCTTTCAATTTAATTGCAATTATTTGCCACTACAACGTTATATATTCAGAGAACAAGCGTTACCAAGCCCAACCTTCCTACAACGGTTGTATAGTGCTTCCTTTGATATGCCATGCTTCGATTTTAACATTGGATACCAACTCAAAACCAATGAACAACACTGTTACCAATCTACAACCTTCCCACAATGTCATTACCTTTATGCCGTGCCACAAGGAACTGTGAAGATCAACCTTCCCACATCGTTGTCTTCAGTAACCCACAACGTTGTCTGACGTTACCAATCTACAACCTTAACGGCGTTGTGTGGTCAGGTTACCAATTGACCTTCCCACAACGTTGACCATGATGTTCATCGTATCCCAATTGCGTTGATCGACCTTCCCCCATGCTGTTGATCACGTTCCAGACGCAATTTACAACCTCCGCCAACGTTGTAGCTGGAATATTGACGAGTGTTGTGTAACATTACAGCAAACGAAACCAAACGTTGTGTCATGACAGTTAGGAAACAACCTTCCCCAACGTTGTTTTTACAACCTGTTTCCCACAACGACGCGACGTTACCAGGGTACAACACAACGTTGTTACCAACAGAACCTCTACAACCTTCCCACAACGTTGTTGCAATTACAACCTTCCCACAACGGGCACTGCCATGTCCACACGTTGGTCATGAGTTACCAATCTAGGATCACAACCTTCCCACAACGTGACGTTACCAGTGTTGTTTATGTTACCAACCAAGAACGGGCGGTATTATGTACTATTGTATACTATTAGCCAATTAACCGCTGTAAATATCCCATTCCCGTTGTAGTCGACCCTTGAGATGGGTTCGAGGAACCTACTTTGACAGGGAATTCCATCCCTATCACATCGCCGTAAAGACAAAATAGAATACTTCGGATTTAACAATCTAAACATATTTTCAGATATATATTGAAATGTATGTATATTCAATCTCTTATTTTACAGTACTGAAAAGGCCATATGCCTATTGTAATTTTTACTTACAGTAGCAAAGGGTGCAATAGAAATAAATATATCGTAAATAATATCACATCTGTAATGCATAGGATCTGATATTCATTGGATGGTATATACATGTATACATTGCACGATTTATGTATAATGCTAGGGCAGGTATATTTATTTTAAAGTATGACTGAGGAAGAGCATATAAATCGTGGAAACAAAAGAAAAAGCATTTGACACTTTGTAACTTTAGGAAAATGAATCTGTAATAAAACTTAATTAAACCCCCAACGAGAGACGTCGCCAACTGTCTGTCGCGTCTAGAAGCCAACGCGGGATTCATTTCTGCCATAGACGCTCTATTAAACCCAGCGTCTCGCAAACTCGCGTCAATTGTTTTATTGCAACCAATTTTGGTTGTTGTCAATGAGACAGATAGGTAAAGACAACATGCTGAATACATCTACGTCGGTTATCTCCCTTTGAGTGATACTTGAGAGGCGTAATTATACTGGTGCTATGCTGGTTAGCGTGACGAAGTTTTAATGATACTGTTGGACGGGTAAATATATGTTAGGGTTACAATATGGACACACTGACCTCTGGTCACCATTCAGCGGGCACCTGTTACAAGCTGACCACCCTTGAAAGTGCTTTACAAGATTCTACTTGAATTGGTATGGACGCCAATATAAACCGGACGGATTTAATCAGTTTCCGACCAAGCTTTTGTCAACAAAGAGGCCAGGATAGACTTGCACAAGTCGCTGGGGTAAAAATAAATAGTTTAAATGGTAATTATTAAA